AGATGCATCTTGAGATCTTAGAAAAATAAGAACAAACCAATTTCAAAACAAGTAGGAGGAAAGAAATAATGAAGATCAAAGCCAAAATTAATGAAAGATAGAATAGAAACTACAAAGGTTATAAAGATGAAAAAGAATATATCACAAGAGATATCACTTGAAATCCAGAGGATTATTAGGAAATATTTTTAAACCTATGTCCCAATAAATTAGAAATTATAAAAATAAATAAATAAATTTCTAGAAACAGTACCTACCAAAATTGAACCAAGAAGATATAGAAAAGCTAAACAGACCAATAATAATGAAATTGAAGCAGAAATAAAAAAGACTTCCAACAATAAAAAGCCTAGAACCAGATGGATTCACAGATTAATTCTACAAGAACTTTAAAGAACTAAAGTCAATGCTCCATAAATTATGCCATGAAACAGAAAAGGAAGAAACACTTCCAAACTCATTCTATGAAGCCAGTATTAGCCTGATACCAAAACCAGATAAGACACATCAAGAGAAGAAAACTACAGACCAATATTCTTGGTGAACACAGATATAAAAATCTTTAATAAAACATTAGCAAATCAAACTCAACAACATATTAAAAAATTATACACCATGATCAAGTTGGTTTAATTCCAAGTTTGCAAGGATGGTTTAACATACGCAAATCAATAAACAATACACCACAAAAGTAGAACCAACAACAAAAATCACATAATTATTTCAATAGATACAGAAAAAAAAACTTTGACAAAATTCAGCTCCTATTCATGATAAAAATTCCAAGTAAAGTAGTGATAGAAGATGCCTCAAAATCATAAAGGCTAGATATGTGACCAACCCAAATCTAATATCATATGTAATGGGGTAAAACAAAGTATTTTCTCTAAAATTAAGATAAGGATTACCATTTTGCCCACTCCTGTTCAATATAATATCTGAATTTTTAGCCAGAGCTATGAAGCAAGAGAAGGAAATAAAAGTGATAAAGTGAAATCATCATGTTTGCAGATATAATCCTACAAGATCTCAAAAGTTTCACTATACGAATTCTAGAGCTGATAACAAATCCAGCAAAGTAGCAGGATATAAATTCAATATACAAAAAATCAATAGCTTTTCTATGCACCTATACTAAATCCACTGAGAAGGAATTCAGGAAAGCAAGTCTATCACAACAGCTTTAAAAATATGTAGATAAAAATCTAACCAAAGAGATAGAAGACCTCTACAACAAAAATTATTGAACACTAAAAAATGAAATAGAAAAAGACATTAAACACTGCTATCATGTATTACTAATTAGAATAAAATAATAATAATAATAATAATAATAATAATAATAATAATAATAAAGAAAAAGACACCAAACAATAAAAATAGCTCCTTTGGTTCATGGAAAGACAGAATTAATATCATTAAAATGGTTATATTGCCAAAAGTAATCAACAGATTCAATGCAATCCCTATCAGAATATGATGACATTCTTCACAGAACTATTATAAACAGTCCTAAAATTCATACGGAAGAACAAAAGACCCAGAATAGACAAAGAAACTCTAAGCAAAAACAGCAACGCTGGCGGAATTACAATACTCAACTTCAACATACACTACAGTGCTATATCAATGACAACAGACACATAGACCAGTGGAATAGAAGACACAGAGACAAACTCATACAGATACAGTCATCTGACAAAGTCTCCAAAGATATACACTGGGAAAAGGACAGCCTTTTTGACAAATGCTGTTGGGAAAATGGAATATTCATATGTAGAAAACAATACTAGATCCCCATCTCTCATGAAACACAAAAGTCAACTCAAAATGGATCAAAGACATAAGTACAAAACAATAAATTTGCAACTGCTAGAAAACACAGGGCAAACACTCCAACATATAAGAGCAGGCAATGACTTCCTCAATAGGATTCTTAAAGCTCAGGAAACAATACCAAGAAATAGTAAATGGGATGCCATCCCATTAAAAAGCTTCTGCACAGTAAAGGAAACAAGAGTATGAAGTGAGAGCCTAGGAAATGGAAGAAACATTTTTGCCAGCTACTCTTCTGACTGAGGATAAATATCTAGAATATATAAAGAACTCAAAACACTTAACACCAAAAGCAACCCCATCAATAACTGCGAAAATGAAAAAAAAGACATTTATCAAACAAAAAAATCGTACAAATGGCCAACAAATATATAAAAAATATGTTCAACATCTTTAGCAATCAATCAGTGAAATGCAAATCAAAACCATACTGAGATGTCATCTCACTATAGTTAAAATAAAACTCTTCAAGTACACAAATAATACTAAACACTGGATAGGATATGATCAAAAGGAACTTCGATATACTGTTGATGGAATTGTAAATTAGTACAAACAGTATGGAAATCAGTATGGAGGTTCTTCAAAAGACTGGAAATAGAACTACTATATGACCTAGCTATCCCACTCCTCAATACTTACCCAAAAGAATTAAAGTCAGCATACCATGCTTATAGCAGTGCAATTCACAATAGCCAAGTTATGGGCCCTCCCTATGGGCTCCTCAACAGATGAATGGATAATAAAAATTTGCTACGTATATACAGTAGAGTTAAGTCAACAATAAAGAAGAAAAAAAATATGTCATTTTCAGGAAAATAGATGAATTTGGAGAGCATCATGTTAAGTGAAATAAGCCATACTTTGTCAAGGGTTCTAAGTTTTCTCTTATATGTGGAAGCTAGAGAGGAAAAAAAAAAAGTGACCTATGAAAATAGAAGGGGGACCAGTCGGGTAGAGGAAAGAAATCAGGGTGAGGAAGGAGAGGAAGGGAAGAGAAGGTACAGGAGAATTAAATTGATCAAATTATGTTGTGTGCATGTACAAATCAGTCACAATGAATCTCACTATTGTGAATAATTACTATGCACCAATAAAACTTTTAAAAAGTAATCACCTCCTTAGAAGCAGAGATAAATCTTACCCTTTTATTGAAGTAAAACCTCTTAGTAGCATAGTCTTAGGTGATACAACATGGAGCCTACTCTGTGCAGTTAAAAATATGTCTATGAAAGGCTAATAAATAGGTTGTCAGCTGAAAAACAACTACTGGTGTCACAATATATAAGAACTGATAAATATATGTATTTAAAATTATTTCTTCAAATGAGATTCCAGTATATAAATTACTGAATGATTGAATACAGGGCAGGGAGCTCAGAATCCTGAGAATCTACCTTTTCTCCAACCCTAGGTAACAAAGAGCCCTGGGGCTCTGCACAACTCCACAGCTTGGAAATCATAGCTTTATTCTGACATCAACATTTTGCAAATTAAGAAATCCAATCCTAAAGAGACAAAGTTGTTTAATGGAGTTTCTGAACCCAGAGGATGCTTCACAAATTGACCAAATTATGTTATATGCATATATGAATATTTCACAATGAATCATTCTGTTTTGAATAGATACAATGCACAAATAAAAAGAAAAAAAGCATACAATATCCTGATCAGTGTATCTAATACCTGCCATGAGGAGGGACAGGTTACAACCTTACACTCAAGAAATGGATACCAGGTAGAGAAACAAAGAAACTAACAAACCCAACTCCTCTCCTAAACTTCCAGATGGTTTAAGAAGAAAATTTCCAATTCTAAACACAAGGTATACATGTTCTTGTGGAACTATCTTCATAGAAACCAAAAGCATATTATACTGTATACTTAAAAATGTTTGAGAATAGCTTCTAAGTGTTGTTATTGAAAAAAATGATAAACGTGTCATAATGGATGTGGTGATTAGCTTTAACATTCCATTATGCATACATATATCTAAACATCCGTTTTAGTCAGTTTTTTGCCAGACCAAGAGATCAAACAAGAACAATTTTAGAGAAGGAAAAGTTTGTTTGGTGCTCATGGTTTCAGAGGTCTAGTTCATAGAGAGCCAATTCCATTGCTATGGACTCAAAGGGAGAGAGAACATCATGTCAGAAGAGTGTACAGGAAGAAAATTATTCAAGACATGGCCACCAGGAAGCAGAGAGAGTGCTCCACTCAAAAAGGAAAAAACTATAAAACCCACAGACACAGTCTCAATCACCTACCTCCTCCAGCCACATCCTATGTGCCTAGAATTACTATCAAGTTAATCCTTTTAAGTGAATTCCAGAGGTGTTACCAGGCCCTCAGTGGAGTTCCTCACCCTAACACTACAAATGTTCTCAACCCCACATGCCTTACTCAGAGCCTTGGCCCTGGGGATTGTTAGCCAGGAAACTTCTGGAACACTTTTGGGTAGCCAGAGCCAACTTGCACCTATATTTTATTTCCCTATTGTTAATAGAAGATGTCAAAAGTGTAAGGTAAATAAATGCTTTTGTCTTTGTGGTCTTCCCGCGTGGATGATTAGAGGAGGTTGACAAGTTTCCTACCCTTTTAATCAAATGACTCCCATGATTGCTTTTCCATATTTCACTACTTTCCTAGTTTGCTCAGGCCCTCATGAAAAGGCTCCTTATTTTCATAATTAGAACATTAAACCAACGTGACAATATGCAGGTGCTGAAACCTGAGTATGTAAGCCAAAGAGTTTCCTGGTCCATACGAGAAGAAAACCACATGGGGAAGTGGACATGCTCATTTCAGATATACTTGTTTCAAGTCATTTTCAAATAATGTCACACGTAAATACTCCTGTTGAATAACATTATGTAAATTCTTTATCCTAAATTTTAACCATCTGTATGTTTCAACTCCCATTTTTTGTCAGTTGATATTTAATCAAATATAGCATCTGCTAGGACAATTCAAACAATCCAAGTACACCTTCACAAACCTCAGGCTTATGAAAGGCTCTTTGTAATTCATCAGTGGATTCTATGCAGGAGCTCTGACACCAAAGAGAACCAGAAAGACCAATTCACAAGAGTTTAGTAAACAGGAAGAAGTCTTAACCCAGAAGTGAGAGTACCCTGGGACAAAACATCACAACATTCAAAATCTTTTGCAAATTCACTTCTTTTATTTTTCTGTGACACATAGATTGCATGTGTTTGTGTGAATTGTGGTTACGCATATTAGGCAAGGTGGACACACATGATTTATACATTTCAAAGCACACTAGTGTGAAAATAAATTACCTTTCATACCCAAACTCCTTCACTGCTCTCTTTCAAATGAGTTGACTCTTCTTTTCCCTTCCCCATGAGGCCACTATTCCTGACAATTTGTGATCACTTTTGTCATCATCTTTTGTGGCCTCAAATCTTCCCTGCTTATCTTGCACCTATATTTTATTTTCCTATTGTTAACAGAAGATGTCAAAAGTGTAAGGTAAATAAATGCTTTTGTCTTTGTGGTCTTCCAGAGTGGATGTGGTTTCCGCTCTTACATCATGCTCTTAGCATATTTTTCCCCTCTCCCTATAAGCAACTAGCAGATGCTCTTTATGAATGCTTTCTTGAGGTACTGCTTAGCTTCAAGACCAGGAAATGTCATGACAAGTTTTTTCTACGTCCGTAGCAAGAAAGTAGGGCCCATTCCATAATTACATACACAGACACACACACATACACACACTGCATGGTACCAGTTCATCCTCATATGATGAATCATCTGTACCATACTAATCACACAGAGACGTTAAGACAATCCATAGATTTTCCACACCTCTCTACTGTCTATCCCACAGAGCTAAAATTTAATGTTTAGGATTCACAGATAAAACATGATCAAATCAATAAAATATCTTTTCCATACTGGGCAAGAATCAATAACAATGCACAATAATTTTATGGGCATGAAGTATAAGTATCTTCAGAGTTGTTCAAAGTTAGGATCTTGCTCTAAAAATTTATGGAGAGCTTTTCCATGTCAATGAAAGGAAATCATGTAGGCTGATGCTTTTGCGGGTCACATCAATTTTTAACACCTATTGGGAAACAAAGAAAAAGTATTGGGCATTTGTTTGAAATTTTCTACACACAAACATATCAGGTGCAGAACAATGGTTCCCATAAACCCCTAATATTTTCATAATTCATGGCCTAGCTGCCAATTGCCCTAACATTTTCAGGTGAGAGAGGTGTTTTCTAATTTCCTAGAGTGCAAAGATCGTTCAGTGATAGGGATAATGTGATACAGAACCACTGATGAGAAATGACTACATAGACAAGTTGGAGAGAATGCCCGCTTTTCCACTGTTCTGAGATGTAGCTTTTGCCTTGAAGTCCTCCTTTTATTTTTTCTTCTCCTATTCCCTCCACTCTGATGATTGCCTAGTAAGAGTCTAATACTCCTGCTTCTTTCTAGGCAAATACCTTCCAGAGGACCTTACTGTGTGCAGGCCTTATCCTGCATGTCAGTCCATGAGTTGGCTCACAACAGAATTAGGCAAAGTCCTTTATGACCTCTTAGTAAAGTTGGGGAAGTTGGTTTGACAAGAAAATGACAGTATGAGGAAACAAAAAATATAAAACCTAATAAAAACTTTTGTTTCAGACCTAGAAATGAGAGAAAATATATTTTCCTTTCTATCACATATTTGTATAATATAAAAACAATATAATAGAATATTTAATTATAAAATAATAAGAGATCTGAATACAGATTTAAATAATAAAATAAACATGTATTTTAAGTTGTTTAAGGTATTAATACTTCTTCACATTCAGGGTCTACCTTTTCAAATTACTTTGTGGTAGAATTATTAACGTATCTACAGCCAACATTTTCTTTAGGATTAATTTCTTACAACATTAAAATGTTTAGGTAAAACTCTATTGTCTATGGAAACTTCAAAGAGCTTCCTACAGGTTTAAAATTTTTTTAAAGTAATTGATATGAAAAACTTATTTCATAGTTTTATTTTCCTTTTTGTGTGGAATTTATTTCTTGGTGAAATAGTGGAACAACTTTTAGCTGGTATTGTCTCCTTATATCTGATGAAATATGGTGGTTCAAGTTGTTTGGGAGACTGGTCTCTGATACAGAGATGAAGGAGTAAGGACAGATAAGTTTTACAGATAAGACAAGACAAACATGGAAAGGAAGGATCCAGACCCTGGATTCCAGAGAATGATAAACCATGAATTGTCCCTTTATCTGCATTCTGTCCAAGCAGACATACTGAAAATGGAGATTCCTGGAAGATTGTCAGGAGAGAATAGCATTTGGAAAGGAACCGGCTTTGCATGAGGCCAACCAAGGTTGGGAAATATCATTGAACTTTTCATGGGCCACCAACCTGTGTTGTAGAGTTGTAGGTGAAGGGGGGTATTTCATTCCCGTTCCTCAAAGTGATGCTCACACTGGAAACAGAGACACTGCCCACACCCCAGATTTCAATGTAGCCCAATTTCAATGGGTTTGTAGCAACAACATAATTGTTAAAAATTACATGACTCTGCATTGTATTCTGTCAAATTGGAAATAAAACAAAAGGGAAAAAAAAAACAAAATTAGTTTTTTTCCCCCAACCTCTTTTTAGGCACAAATATAAACCTTGAATAAGCAAACTCTAGGTCATCATCTTGTGTCCTCAGCTAGCAGAGATCATGATTTCAGCATTCTATCCCCTGTTGCCAACTACATCTACTTTGCATAAATGCCTGCAGGGTCTTTAAAATTTCCTTGAGCTATAGGAGACAGTCTCAACCATCAAGAACTTATATTCTATGCATGGAGAAGTCACAAAATGTGCAGACCGTTTCAAAGCAACACTGGAACAGGGCTACACTATATAAAAACAGTCTATCTATGAAATGGTAAACCTAAATAGGTTACTGATGAGATGTGAATAGTTTCCATCACAGCAAACTTCCTGGGAACATGGGGAATCTCTATGTGCAGTTTGGAGGAAGGAAGGACATAAATTAACAAGATGAGCATGGAAGACATTTTAGGTGCCCTTCTGGCATTGAACATCCTACTAAACCAGCAGAATTCCACTTTCCATCACACTCACCTGGCTGGCAGAAAAGTAGGCCAAATAATATATTCCATTTTCAATGGTATCTGTAAACAAACAACAGGAAAATATGACCAAGGCTTATGCCAGAGAATTCTAATTGGCTACCTGTCTTGGTTGAGAGAGCAGGGATTATTTTTGTGATTTTTTTGTTTGTTTTACTTTTCTTCTCTGCTCATCTCCATTTTGTAATGTGACTCCTCCTTGTGGAAACCAGTCAGACTCACAGTCAACCCCAGTTAACACAAATACCAGTCTCATGCCACTTCTCTTCCTTGTGGTCTACCACTCCCAGCCTCTTCCCGGTCATCTCAGGACTTCCATATTCTTTTGCTAGTGTATACTTATGCATACATGCATGCAGATACACACATACACAAGCACCAAGACTGGTGCATTGTTGGGTTCATCTTGAGAGGTATCAGGCAGTTTTCTAAATGCAATCTCCAGGGAACAAACAAAAGCCTTCCTTGTCCTTTACCCTTAATGTATGCCACCATCCCAGGGAGAGTATAAAGTCTGGCACATCTGGTGAAGGTCGAATGGTTGGGATCCTTGCCCTCAGGCTCTCTCATTCTCGTCCCCATCCTTGACATTTTCTCCCTTATTCTAGCCTCTTTCTCATTTATCACCATGCTGTCAGTATTCACTGGCTATCCTCACCAGAAAAATATAGCAATGTAAATTTAAATTAATTAAAATAAAATTAAATATAAAATCAGATGCACTTGTCACCTTGTGCCACATATGACTAGTACTGCATTAAACTAAGAAGATATAGAGCAACTCCACCACTGCAGAAAGTTCTACTGGATATGTGAGTCATCCTTCTAAGAAGTTACACATTTCTGTAAACTCTTAATGGAAAAGTTTCCTCCAAAATAGCACAACTGAGAGAGGCATTGTCTTTCTGGGACAATAAGCCGTAAAGCTAAGAAATATGTCCCTTATCACAATGAACTGATGAATAATGGTGAGAGATCTAGCATTAAGCATCATTTGCATGAGGCATAAAGATCATGAACAAAATGGATTACACACTTGAAGTAGCAAACAACTATATTTTTAAATGCAAAAATATTTTAAAATAAAAAAGGAAAAAAATCAGGGACATATGATATCTAGAAGCCCAGACAATTGCACTGACCTGAATCCCAGGCGACCCGTACTCACCGATGCTTTGCCCATCATCCCAAAAGAGCCAGCCCTCAGCAGATCCCTCATCATCCAAAGCAACCTTGAAGCCCATGAATTTCTGGCGGCTGCAGTATGGTGAGAGAGAGGCATTAGCTAAAAACAAAGCCCCAGTCACAGTCACAAGCCAAAGATGTTCTCATAAAATCAAAGAAGCAAAATTAAGAATGAATTCTAAGATTCAAGAGACTTGTAACTCAGCTCTTGTTCAGTCTCCATAAAGCTGGATAATCTCATGTCATGAGTGAATTATTTGTAAATGAATCAAGGGAAATTTTCCTTCAAGGCTCTTTAAGAAATGAAAAGAAAACCAACTGGGTTCCCCCTTCCTGTTTCTGAGGAAAATACGAAAGCTGGAATCCATCTTTCATGATGTATTTCCTATAACCCATGAAGAGGGTTCTTTTTACAAATATCCTCAGCTCATCATTTTTATCCATATCTGTGGAATCAAATGAGTAAAGATCTAAGATCTTTAGGAGTGATATCAGACAGATGTGGATTTTAGTCCCTGTCCATCTACTTACTAGCTGTGTGACTCTGACACTTAGCCTCCTAAAGCTCTGCATTGCCATCTGTGAAATCAGAATAAGATTCCCTAACTCAAAGGACCTTTTTCATTTTTGTAAGGAAAAACTTTCTTAAATCTCCAAGCAGAGCTCCCCATATTACTATAGTCCTAGACACAGAGTAATGTTCACTTGATGTTAGTTACTGCTAATTATTATAGAGACCTAGGTCAATAATTTATTCATGCGTTATATGAGGAAATCTCAGACTTGGGGATGAGTTGTCATGTGGCTTCAACAATTTTGTTTTGTTTTTGGAACTGGGGATTGAACCCAGGGTCACTTAACCACTGAGCCATATACCCAACCCTTTTTTATGCTTTATTAGAGTCAGGGTCCTACCGAGATGCTTAGGGCCTCACTAAGTTGCTGAGGCCAGCTTTGAACTTGCGATCGTCCTGCCTCAGCCTTGTGAGTCACTGAGATTACAGGTGAGCACCACCGTGCTGTGCTCAGCTTAGCAACATATTTCTTAGATCATAAAAGATCCAGATAATCTCCTAAAATTCTCAGGAATTATGATTTCCCTGTTGCTATTTCTATTTGAAATATCACTTCTGAGACCTATCATCTCACCAAGTAAATACAAAAGAGCTGTTAATTAATTATTCAGAGTTCAACATTTGAAAAAAGATGAAACACAAACAAGCAAACAAAAAGACAGGTGCTTAGTAAAACCACTCTTGGCCTTACTAGTGATGTTTCAGGGATTGCTGGCATTCATTAGAAATTAGTGAGCAAGCTAGGGGCAGTGGCACACTCTCATGATCCCAGCATCTCAGGAGGCTGAAGCAGGAGGATCACAGATTTAACAAGACCCTGGCTCAAAATAAAATTAAAAAGATCTGGGGATGCTGATCAGTAATAGCACTCACTCTTGAGATCAATTCCCAGTACCAGAAAAAAAAAAAAAAGAAAGAAAAGAAAGGAAACAAATTAGTGAGCAAAAAGGTAGGCAAAGTGGAACACTAGCCCCATACTCACCTCAATTGTGTGTTCAGTGCAGGCTCCTGCCAGGGCAGGATGTAGCCCCCACGGACATGAAGGTTAATGTGGTCAAGAGGGGCTTCCAAGTCCTTCCACATTCCCCTTGCATTAATATCCACACCCTGTTGGATGAAGAAGAGAAGATGAGGAAGAAGACCTTGCCTCCCTGCACAGTGCATCTGGAAGACACCTCCTCTACCTCACTGATTGTGCTACCTGCTCATCACCACTCAGCACCACCTGATGGTAACCTTCTTCCTTCCCCCAGCTGCTGTGTGAAGTCCTGCTTGGCCTCTATAATGTCCTGTGAGGGTCCCTTGCCTTTTTGGGTGGCTACACTACATCACACCTGAGGTCCTAGCGTGGATCACAGCCCACACTCACCCTACAACTTGTTGGTATGTCACAGAGCACAGCTACAGGAGGCTTCACAGCCAGCCATTCCTTCACTTCTTGCTAGTTCCTCACATACTCTCCACAATGCTGGTCTGAAAATTCTCTTTCACCAAGAGTCTCTCGAGTCTTCATCTTCCCCCACTCTCCACTTCCACCTACTTCACCAACATTTTGGCCTCATACTTCACTGAAAACATCAAAGTGAGCTGTCGTACTCTGTGTTTCCTCTTCTTCTACTCAATATCTCTACTTCTTGACTGACGTCTTTAACTTGCCTCATGTGTGAGAGCGGCTCTCTTGTCTGAGCCATTCCCTGACAATACTAAGGAACCTTCCACATTTTCTCACCAAAATAGGGCTTCCCAGTGTTGGCACTACTGCCAATTAAGGTCAGATCCATGTTTATTGGTGCCCTGTGCTCTTTTGATGTTTAGCAGCATCTTCAGTGTCTATCCATCAGACACCATCCTCCCACCCCACTGTGACTCCCCAAGGTGACTCTGCACATTGACAAATATCCCCTGATAAGCAACCCCCAATTTGAGAACTGTGACTTTAGAGGTAAGAAGCAGTGAATACTGACAATTAATCTTGTACATGGCTGTATTCCAATAAAACTTTATCTGCTAAAATAGGTGAACACCTGATTTCACTGAGGGCCTCTGCTTGCCAATCTCCATACTAACAAAGAATAGGTACCCATAACTAGTGAAGATTAATTAAGTAGACATTTCTTCATTGATCCCAGCCATGTAATTGTCATTTTAATTAAATACAAAAGCCCTTTTTCTCTTAATGTCTGCTTCAATTAGCTTTTGGCTTTCCACATCAATTTTTACATTTCATTCCTCAACTAAATCTTCTATTTAAAAGCCTTGTGTAAAATCAACCATTCCAGAAAAATTCTTTCCCCTGCCTGGTGGTACTGGAGATTCAACACAGGGTCCTGATCATGCTAGGTAAGTACTTCACTATGAGCTACACACCCACCTAAAATTTTTATTTATTAATCCTCATACTTCATTTTCTTGTATATGGTACAAATTATTTACATGCATATTAGCATTTATGACAAGCAAATATTAGCTCCTCATGACATGGTGAACTCCACAGGGTCAGGGCCAAGGCTAGGCGAATTGAAAGAAGTTGGCTGCTCTCTCCCTAGAAAGCCCTGGCAGGAAAGCCCACAGTAGCATCCTAAAATACCAGCACCCTAAGGAAAGACCCAGCCTCGCAACAAAGAAGAAAAGACAGGAGAGTCAGTGCTCTACAGCACATAGAAGAGGAGAAACACCTCCATTCTTCCCCTACATTTCCATCTGATCCCACTGCACCCCCTCCAATGAGAGGGACAGACACATGCTCTGTTCTCTGCCTTTCTCCTATATTTCTAATCCTCCACCTTATTCTATTCAGGAAGTCAGAGGAGACATGGTTTCAGGACAAGGACCCCCTACCACTTTGATTCTTCCTCAAGGGTCAGACTCTGACTCATCTATTTCCCTCAGGAGACTACCCTAAAGCTGATTCCAACACCCTGCACTCCTGGCTAGCCTCTGGGACTCACAGTATCCCAGAACCTATACATCAAAGAGCTGTTTATGGGCTACTCATTTGTAAGTCAATGTGCACTACTTAAGTCTAAGTGTGGGGATCCAGGTCTATATGCACTTTACACACTAGCTCATAGTTTGCTTAATTAGGTAATTAGTGTGAAGCAACTGCTATTTGTTGTTGTTTGTTTCTTGTTGTACTGGGGATTGAACCCAGGGGCACGCTACCACTGAGCTAAGTCTCTAGCCCTTTTTATTTTATTTTGAGATAGTGCCTCACTAAGTTTCCCAAGATAGCCACAAATCTTGTGATCCTTCTGGCTCCACCTCATGAGTAGCTGTGATTAAAGGCACGCACTGCTTACGTGGCTAGGAGCAACTTCTCTTTGAGTATCTGTATTATAGAAACTAACACAAAATAAAAAAGAACATGAGGAAAAGGAGTGGAATTTATAGCAGGAGCAGATAAAATTAAAAACTATAGTTATAGCACAATATCCCATCAACAGATGAATGGATGAAGAAAATGTTGTATATATACATATTAGAGTTTTATTCAGCCATAAGGAAAAATGAAATTATGGCATTTGCAGGAAAATGGATAGAACTAGAGACAATTATTACAAGTAAAATAAGTCAAACTCAGAAGGTTAAAGGTCATATGTTTTCTGTCATATGTGGGAGATACAGAGGATAAAGGGAAAAATTGGGGTGGGGAGATCTTATGAAAATCAAAGGGAGATCAATAGAAGAAAGGGACTAGGGAGCAGGAGGTGGGGAGGGAGGGAAGATGTGCTGGGGAGTAATACTGGTCAAATTATAATTTTATATTGTATATTATGTGCATGCACAAATACATAACAATAAATACCAACAACACATACAACTATAATGTACTAATAAAAAATGTGGAAAAATATATGTAATATTATATAGGTATAAAATAAAGAGGGTACTAGGGTCTCACCTCAGTGAAAAGTGATGGTATAAGGAAACCCAGAAATTCCCAAGTACAGAACACTAACAACAAGCAAAGCCCTGAATAAGATACTGTACATGATACTCCACAAGGATTCTGTATAGAGAAGTCTTATTCCATTTGCAAGTGAGAAAACTGAGGATACAAAGGTAAAAACAACACAGCATATGGCTTACACAGCCAGCGCTTGGCCAGAGGTCTGTGAGGTCTAAAACCATTGTACTCTGCAATTTTCAAAGGATGTACAAATATTTAGAAAAACTTACCGAGTAGTAATCATACCAGCGGGCTCCAGGGAAATACGCAGTGACACTTCTAGCATTCTAAAATTAAATACAAACAAGCTGTGAGCAGTGGATACAGTTGCTAAGACACAGTAACCAATTTGCATAGAAAAATAGTTAGAGCAATAGTGATTATATTCAACAAACTCAGCTCTCTAAAATTAAACAGAAACAAGGTGTGAACTTGTTTTCTGCGACCTAGTAAGTAATATGGGCAGGAAAGGGATATCAATTTGTGGTGGCCAATACCCATCTGTCTCAGGGCCCTGAAGACCAGCACTACTGGAAAAGTCTTCCTTCATTCACCCTTTGCAAACACAGAAAAGTTCAAAACCTCCAAACAAGGGGTGTCCACATAAGGATTGGAGATGCAGGAAGTCACAAATATATTATGATTTGCTCACAGATTCACAGGAACAAATGCTAAAGACAAAATCACCTAAGGATGGATGGGAATCAGCACATTACAGAAACAGGATAAATTATGAAGAAGTTGTAATTGTTACTTGGTGTTTTAATCAGAATCCTAAGCATCGAAGTACAAGGGGAAGAAATGACCTTTGCTGCCTGGAGGACCTCACAAGAAGAACAAGGGCAGGGCTGGCTGAGGTAAGGAAGGCTCGCTGGGCTGCTTTCAATGGTGACAGGACTGTGATGATATTCACATGAAACCCCACCTGAACCAGGATCCCTTATTTTATTTATTAAAGTGACAGTATATCTCAACCCATCATAAGGCTACCATTTTTTCTTGATTTTCCGACGAACCTGAACTGCTAGGAATGAGCGGAAACTAGAGGAAACTGAGGCAAGAACACCTATGTGCTGCACTTCTGCTCAGAAGGAGAGGAAGACACAAAGGTAGAACAAGCAGCCATGTCCCGGGATCTACACGCACCAGGCTTCTTCTCATGCCCCTATTCACACACCCTCACACCTGGGATCCACCACACATCTGAGGCCTCCATACTCACAGCCTGCAGGACGGGGCTGACTAGGAAGGCTGGACCCAGCAGGAACTGATCATCTATGTCCCATGTCACCCGGTCTGACACAAACCTGGGAAGGTAAGAAGATGTCACAATCAGAGTCCCAGCCCAAGTCCCCAAGGAACAACTCAAGTTCAGAGGCAAGTCTCCCCTCCAACTCCATCTTATGTCATACTTAGTGTTTGTCTAGATTGATCAGGAATACACAGGCTTCAATATTCTACATGTAAAGTTACCTTGACATCACAACTGGTTCAGATATGTTCAGTCACTTGAAAAATTCTCCACTATTTCCAGATGGCACATTAAAAATGCAAAGAAGGCCCTCAATGCTTTTTTTATGATGTCGACTCATTTGGCCTTAATTATTTCAATAGCTACACCACACACAGAGGTCTGTGCATGCACAAATTAGTAAGAAATCAGGCTGTGTTGCATCATTTCAAATATTTTTCACTCAATAAATAGCCTTTCTCAATAACACATAGTGCGAATAAAACAGAGTTCAAAGTGTGGACTCTGCGTGGAGAGCTTATGACAAAATAAATCTTATCTTCATTGAGAAGAATTTTTTGCATCAACTGCCACCCTACAAAACCAACTAAACTATGCATCAGTCCCTGGGACCCCAGCTGGACACTGACTCGTGCAGAAGAGGCCGCACCACAGTGCTGCCCTCCGTGTGGGCCTTGAACATCAAGGTGTACAGATATGGCAACAGGGTGTATCGGGTCTCCATCACACTCCTGGAAATATTCACAAAGGCAGCATCCCAGGACACAGGGTCTTGTCTCTAAGGAATAAAAGCAAAGGTGTTGAGAGCCCAACCCAGGGACCCTAGGGGGCAAAGAAGGTAAAGGAAAGCTTGATCCAAGTACATCACACACAGATAACCTAAAGGTGATTACAAGTGACACTCTGAAATATACTGAATAGTCCGATAATAGTCAGTGAGGATCTTCCAGGAGACCGCATGGAACTTTCCCAGAAAAAAACACTTCAGGGATATACTTGGAGCAATCCTTCCTATATCTAAAGACCCTCTGATAATCCTGTGCATTTTGGCAATTGTGAGGCGCTTTGATGGTTTTGAAAATCTCCCAGGAACAAAGATGGTCTGGACTGGGACTCCAAGGTGAAGGCTGCACAGCATGTGAGGCAAAGCACGTGAGGAAGGAGGAAGGTCCTACCCTGGTGCCAATGGTGTTGTGGTTCCTGGAGAAGGGGTAAAAGGCTCCAAGCTGCATCCAGCGAGCACACATCTCATACTCAGCATCTTGAAAGAACCCACAGATATCTGCTCCCGTCTGAAACCAGAGGAAATGAAACCAGCCTGTGGGTGATTGCTCACGGGTGTCAGTGTCCTCTTAGGGATGAGGAGGAGCAAAGGTCACTTACATAGGAGATGCCAAAGAGGCTGAACTCCATCATGCCTGCAATGAGAACCACGGCTGTCAGGAGAGGCATGTGTGTGCCCCGCCCTCTCCTCCCTCCTTTCCCAAGGACACCAGCTCCCTTCCCTGCAGCAGAGGCCCCTGGGAAGAAGCCACACACCAATGATAGATTTCTTCAGCTGGTCCCATGCGGCAGTGTTGTCTCCCAGCCAGTGTCCTCCCCAGCGGCCAGAGGAGGGGAATGTGGAGCGGGTGATGACGATCCCTCGCTGTCCAGTCACCTCCTGCACAGCTCTGTAGGAGGGGAATGTACAGGTGAATTGAGGACACAGCAAGAAGAATGGAATAGGGCTTCCCTTTCCATAAAAAGAACAGAGGACATGGTAACAAAATGTTGGTTACGTGAATGGCGGGAATATGGGAGAGTTAGCAATGGAGAGGGTCCTACTGACTGATGGAGACAACACCAGCAGTGTCGCCACCTTCATGGTGTCTTAACAGGGATTTCACCATGTTTTGTGTTTCCTTTGCCTCACATGACTAATGCATTAAAAGAAGCAACTGCACTGTATAATGCTAACTGGTGCCATCACATGAGTCTCCCCAAACAGAACTACTAGTTTGTCACTTATGGGGCAGTATCCTATTGAAAGTTGACCTCCTACTTATACTCACAGGGTCTGGCCCCATGGTTAAGGACTATTTGTTGCAAAAATAAAAATTGTGACAGAATTACAATTAAATGTTCTTCAATCTTGCGATGGATTGCTATGAAAAACTTAAGTTATACCTAGCACTATGTGTCCCCACAGGCTGAGCCCACTGGAGAAGGAAAACAATGACTCACTCATATGTGGGTCTGGTCTGGGACCACCCGTACAGGCTGTGCACATCATAGTGTCGCACCCGGGAGCCATCTGGAAGGATCTGCTCACTCTCCATGCACAGGGTCTTGCTGCTTAGGCCCCGGTCCCTGGACTCCAGATCTGAGGGAAAAGATTTGGGAAGGTGAAAACCAGCCCTGAGCCTTTTAGTCCCTGACCTCTCCTTAAGGCATTTAACTACACATCTTAAGATTGACTTGACTTCACAATGGCCCCAACCATGGGATTGTAACTAAGAGAAGGGCTTTCTAGACAAATTCAGGAAATTTGCCCAAGAGATCCAGAAACTTGCACCAAAAAGTTTGGAAAAGGACTTGAAATGCTTTCGTTTCTGGCCCCCAATAAACCAGAAAACACAGAGGGCTCTGCTGGTCAGGATAAACCTCTGGTGCTGGGCTCAAACAATGATTATCTTCCATCTAGCCATGGAGAAGCCCAAGGGTCCTTACGTGGCATGTAGGGAGGACGGTTCAGACTGGCATCACTGCAGCCTGAAGGAACAGCCCCATTCACAAAGCTCGATGGTTCATTCATATCCTAGAAATGTCAGACACAGACATTGCTTACTCTTAACTGAGAGACTTCTTGTCAATTGAGAGTCAAGGGAGTGGTGAATACATCATTCCCACCAGTACACCTGCTTGTGGGTACTGGTGTGTGTGCTTGCCCAGTCTGGCTCATCAAATCCAGATAAGAATTGGCTAAAAAAAAAAAATTGATCCCTAAAGGATGACTGACTGGAAGGTCAAAACAATACTCCCTCAGGGTAAACAAGTTTTTGAGACATTCTTGGCAATCTCCCTAGAGGTTTGACAGAGTGAGTTACAAGATACAAGGAATATCAGGATATTCCACACCTCAGTTCAGGAAATGCAGCATAACATATCCAAAGTCTTTCTCAGAATATTAACATCACCTTGAGTAAAAGTCTGACTTTCATATGGTAAATCACACCAAGTTAAACACACACACACTTACAATCCACATGCCATCAAACTTCAAGCTCCTCTCTGGATTCTCTGGGTTGTTGTACAGTTCTGCAATTTCTCTCTTCCACCACAAGGCAGTTGAATTACGGAAAAAGTCTGGGAAGGCCACATAAGCTCGGTATTCCTATAAAAACATTTATAATTCACTATCCCAAAGGAATATATCTTACAGCAACAGGCACTTTTGAAGAACCTAATTAATGAAAAGACTGTACTACATTATGGCAGAGTGAAAATCTCAATAGAGCCTACCTTATGTTCTTGGCTTATTTATAATACATTGAGGGCAATGAGGAGAATTATGGATGAATTTTACACATTTGAAAATGTCCATAATCTGTTTCCTTTTCATGCCATCATGAATGCTATCAATTGACACCCTGACTCACTATCCCCAGCTTCAGATTCCCAACCTGCACTTTCTATCCTGCCTTTTCCTAAGCTCTCCCGTAAGACCCTACAGGGAACAAGGAACAACTGTAGCTGGAAAAGGGCAGACACCACAGGCACTGTACCAGAGGAAAGGCAATGACTAGGTGGCACGGCAATGTGTCATATCCACTGGCAACATGGGAGAGGGGAGAGATTACATTTCATGACATTAGACTGGCATGCATGAGTGTTTTCTTTGGCTTCAGAATCACGTGAGCATTGCAGTTGTGTATAACATAAAATGGAAGAATTTAAGGAGGAAGCTTCAATAAATGTCTCCTTTTCTCCTTCTTTCCTCATCAGAAAGAGTAATATCCTCATCTCAGCATGAAGAGTGGATTCACATATCAGTTCTTAAATAGATTGTATGGTTTTTAGATCAAGGATTTTGTCTTTATACTTTTGATTGGTCTTTATGGTCCCTACAATGCAGAGCCTAGAAACTGTCATAAGTGTAAGGGGTGATAATAAACATTCAGTATTTAATTTGGGAAGAATATCACTCAGTAGCAGCAAATATGCATGAATGTCTATATATTCTATGTTGTTTGTGAGAAAATACTCTGATCCTTGGAATATCTTATAACAATTGTGCCTCTATGGTAAACTCTATACCATATGATGTAATGAGCTAAATAATGCTGCAGAATAGGAAGAATCCCTAAAGAGGACTGATATATGCGAGCTCCAGTCTCTTGTACAATGCAAAAGTGGTGACTGGGATCCATATGTCTAGATAATAGGCAAATGAGGAACATCAAAAAGAAAACAGCAATGGATATCGCCATGCCCAGATCTGGTTCACAGAAGATGGAAAGGGCAAGGGGCCACATCACTGAGAACTTTGGATTCTTATGTTAGGAAATGGTAATAGAAAAGCATAGAATTAGACACAGAACCTTTCACCAGAAACAGAGCTCCAGCTATGGCCATGTCAGAAATCATGGCATAGGTGGAAGGTAGGGACTAAAAAAAAAAGAATCATGATAAACTGTGTGAGAGACAGAATTGTATCTCCTGTGGGAAAAACCTTTCTAGTGAAAGGTTCCATGTCTATTGCCATGCTTTTCTATTTCCATTTCCTAACAAAGGAATCCAAAGTTCCCAGTGATGTAGCCCTTTGCCCTTTCTGTCCTCTGTGAACCAGGTTTGTGCATGATGATCCATTGCTGTTTTCTTTTGGGTGTTCATCACCATTTGTCTTTTATCTAGAGATATGGACCCCAATCACTACTTTTTCATTGTACAAGAGACTGTATCAAGTGGTAAATCAGCCCAGCCATGGTTTGTTAACTTTACTAAATACTGCTGTAATGATCCTTACCCATGTAATAAAAATTCCCTCCCCTTCGCCAAAGTACTATCCAAATTCAACTCTTGCCATATTGCTTCTGTCCTCAAACTGTGATGTTCACATCTGCACAAAAGCCCTCAGAATTACTTATTGCAATCCATTGCATGATACTGTAATTCAATTCCTAGATGCCACCACAAACTTACTGAATCAAACAGTGAGATTCAGACCCAGAAATCTGCTGCTTTTCCAATGCTTCATGGGTGTTCATTTACTTATTTGCTTCCTTGTTTGTTTATTTTATACTACCCTTAGCAATGCCAGACCTGGACATCAGTAGTCTCAGCTTAACTAGCCTCAACAAGTAGATATTAATAATATAAATGGTCATAATTATTCTATATCTGATAATCTCTTATGAGCTACCTAATGTATTGTTTAGTACCCTAATGAAGTGTTTCTCATCAAAGGAACAATTTAACGTTGAGGCAAAAGAATTCTTTGTGAAGAATCCCTTCCTACGAGAGCTATGGGGATCCCTAGTTACTACCCACCAAATTTCAAATGATGCTCCCACATCACTGGGATAACCAATACAGCCACACAGACTTCTGAATCCCCTCAAAATGGTAGCCCCAAATGACCGATGAACTGTATTTCCTTATAATCTCTAAAGGTAATGGCTAACCCCTTCATTCGTGAAAATGACCTTCTACTAAAGACAGCAAACCTATGTGTCAGATTGGCTATGGCCTGGCAGGTTCCTATGTCCTCATGGGCCGCCTAGACCACTAAACCTCAAATGATCCTCCCTTAGAAATGATAGAACAACTAGCTAGGTTCTCTCCCTTATTTACTTATTAGACAGATACCTAGACACATAGGCAAAAAAAATAGATGATAAACAGATACATGGGTGAATACATAGGAAGGAGGGGGAGAGAGAGAGAGAGAGAGAGAGAGAGAGAGAGAGAGAGAGAGAGAGAGAGAGAACACCAAAGAAGCAGAGATACTCAAGGAAGAATGGGAGTAGGGGTCAGACTTATTAGTCTGATAATGGATAAGCCTAGAGAGAGATTGGGTGGGTGAGTGGGGGTAGCAGGGAAGGAGGAAGACTGATTCAGTAGTAGACAAAAACAAAACAAAACAAAAAAAACTTGAATTGATTGTGAATCATTTTTACCAATCTGCCACATTGAGCTACTATTTCTTTCACTCCAACTATCTACTACCAAAAATTAATGATGCAGAATCTAATACTCAGGTAATCTAGGAAAAATTTATGGGTATTTCCTTTGGATCTAGAACACTACTGCTACCACCTAGGAGTCAGAAGATCACAGACCAATGCCAGCAAACTATAACACTGGCTTATAGTACTGTTCTCCTTCCAGTGTCCCAGAACTGAGCCCTTCATCCCCAGATTGTGCTAGTTCTAATAACAGTCTTCAGAACTAAGAAAGACCACTCCTCACAAAAATTAACTAGTCTGGATAAAGCATGAACATGCGGGACTAACTAGGCCAGTTACATCTTTATGACTGAAGTCTTTCTCCTATGCCTCCATCCACTGACTAGGATTCTATAGTATTGGAAATATCCCTTAAATGGTGCCTTTACCCCTGAGAATCCTGAAGTAGCTAACACCTAAATGTATAGCTACTGTACTTTGTTCCCACAATACTATTTTTCTGATTAGTCCTTGATCCTGAGAGTTTCAAGACAGTGAAACTCATCTAGTTTGTTGACCACATAGAAGCCACATTCTATGGCCCTTTGACCCTTGGCAGGTATCCTGGAAAATAGGTCCTTTCTCTGACTTGCCAGGACCTTTATAAAGGTTTCACAGGCTTCATATGTACTACTTTAATTTCTGTCCAGAAAGAATAATCATTGTTGAAGAACAGATGAAGAAGTTCCAGCAAAGAACTGGTTCTTCCAAAAAGTCCAGACCCCTCCCTGACAGCCCTACTCAAAAGTATTAGAGAGCAACTGATAACAAAGCAGACAGGCCGTATCAGTTCCCTCAGTACACATTTTGGCCAGAACATTTGGCTGAAGCCATCATGAACCAGTGTGGAACCATGTATTCTTTCAAGCAACAAATGCTTAGTAAAGCTACAAAGAAACCTGGGTCAAGCAGCATGGGACAACTCTATCCATTAAAATAAAAAACCTGTTCCCAAGAGAGCAAGTTTTAATGAAATGCTGGAAAAGGAGAGGTAAACATGAAGCTGAGAGATCCAAGTAAAGATAGGAGTAGGGGTCAGGATTTATTAGTGTGAAAATGGATAAGTCTGTCAACAACAACAAAAAAGTTTGACAAAACAAAAGACCCAATCATTAAAGACGAAAGAGATACTAGTTAAAAGGGATACTCAAGGCAATAATAATAAGACGTAGACTCATTCTAAGAAAAGATTGGTCTTTGTTGAAGTTTCATACATTGGAAATTCTATAGCACTTTGAAATCAGATGGGTTTGATTTTGAAATAACCAAGTGTCACCTAAACCATGAAAAAGTACTTTCAGTGTTTGTCACTTAAGTCCCATAGATAATACCTACCTCCCAATTAGACATAAAACAGAACTGCATGGAAAGTAATGCACACAAAGACGGACACCCAGCACCCCTTTCTGAGGAGTTTTTCCCTTGCATTGCCCATATGCTTGGCAGGACAAGTCCAGTATGGTGGATATGGCTATCCTTCCTGACAACCAGACTTCACCTAATATCTAAAAAGGGCCTTTTACCTCCACTTGACTGTCCCAATCCAGAGAGCTGTTGACAACAATATCAGGGTAATCAGGCCACACCTGCAAAGAGATAAATATGTAGCAGCAAGGCAACTTACCCTATGTAGGATTTCCTAAGGCAATTAACCATGGCCCTAGGGAGTAATAATACTTTTGAATATCATGTAGGTTTTATCAAGATAGAAGTGAAATCCACAAAGTCCTCACTATATCAATAAATACTGAATGAAAAATGGAAACTACTGACCTCAGGGTCTACAGGTAGGGGCCTTGCTTTCCATTAATAGAAAAATTGCAAATAAACAACACACACAAACACACAACCCATGATAAATACTAACTAAATAAACACTAACTAAAAATAAATAATATATATATAAAGAAATAATAATAAATAAATACTAACTAAAAAATGGAAACTAATGACTTCAGTATCCACAAGAAAAGGGTAAAACACACACAAACACACAAACTATGGCCCTCTCCCACGATGGAGACTAGTAGTCACCACTTAGATCATACCTTTCCCCAGACAATGCCTCCACCATTTGGATATTTGATGAAGACATCATCCTCCACTCCCCGAGTGAAGGCAGGATAGGGCTGTGTCTCATTGCCAGAAATGGCTGGGTCCTGCAAGCAAAGCACAAGTCAGTCGGCAAAACAAAGAGAGAGATTGACAAGGGACACAGAAAAAGAACTTCTTCATTGGGAGGTCCCTAGCTTCCACCTGCCTCTAGAGTTTCTGGGAATCTCTGGAAATATACTCTTCATATTGTACTTGGAGTTCTCTGTTCTTCATATGGATAGAGGGACAAGAAAAGTGGTTCTCCACAAAGCCCAGTCCTCCTCCCAACACACTCCATCCACACAGGCACAAAAGGACTCACCAGGATGAGGATGACCCGCATCCCATCAGCCCTCATGCGATTGATCAGGGCTGGAAACCCAGCAAACTTGGGGCTGAGGGTAAAGTCCAGCTGCCGCTCCATGTAGTCAATGTCTGAGTACTGCACATCCTGGGGGAGGACACAAGGAAACAGAGCTAAAAGTCCAGCTCCCAGAGGAGAAACACTCTCCCCTGCTGATGGTGAAGTGAAATGGCTTCCTGTTGACTCTTGCAAATTCTAAGTCTTTCAGTATGAAAACTAGAAAATTCATCTAAGTTTTCAAACTTTTACTCACAATAGAGATATAATATAAATCAGTAAAAATACGATGATGAAGCCTCTATATAATGGCTATTGTGAGAACATGTAAAATCACTTAGAGGGAAATTACTTTGTCAATGGCCATTATAAGGATTGATTGCATTTACCTTCCCCAGTGTTGCCCCTGAAAAAACAGTTTATATTAAGAAGAAACACAGAGTTAGCTACTTGGTTATAACACAATCTGAATGGTAAATTGGCTACAAAATAAGAAAAAAAAAAATAAAAACAAATCTCATAATTACTCTTGGCATGCAATCTCGGAGGTAATTAGAAATAGTTGTCTTATAAGAATACGATACTTTGCATGATGTACTTCCCATTCATGGAACAATTGTAAATAATTGAACAGTGAGTATAATAAAATTCAATTTGAAAGTGCTCTGCAGAATCAGTTATAATTATTCAATCCTGCTTCTCCTCAAATGGATAAGACTTTATTCCATGTATATTTCTTTTGGAAACATATCTAGAAGCCCTACATTCAGCCAGTGAGTAGCTCAGGACTGATAAAATAATGTTTGCAGTGCAAAAACATATTGTGACACATCAATACATACTCATTGAATTTGGGCTAATTTTTTTTAATAACCACTACTACTACTACTATTGAGGGAACTTTCATCTCGTGGTGACAAGGACTTTTAGACCAAATGTCTAAAAATCAAGTAAAAGAAATGGAAGGAGGAGCAGTATAGCAGAAAACTTCTGAAGCCTTCCTTATCTTCTCACTCTTGAGTCACTGAGTCTGCAATGCTATAATATGGGAGTAAGGCCCCACTTGTATTATTGTCAGGATGGAAATCAGTGTTTCATCATGGTCAGAAAGAAACTTTTGTGCTTTTGCTGAACCCCACAAAAACCCAACAAATAAATCCAGACACAGAGAAGCCTGAGTTGGCTATGAGCTCATAGAGCCAGTGCACCAATACTGAGACATACATAGGGGATCTGGGCAGCCACCATCTCATCATACAAGCTGGAAATCTCAGAATCATTCTCATATCCATAGCGACACAGCTGGAACCCCAGGGACCAGTAAGGTACCATCACAGGTCGGCCAATCACCTAGAACATGGAAAAAAATATTATTCCTTACAGGAGTGACTCAAATGAAGTTGTACACCAAATAACAAGAATATTTTTCTAGTGCCCCAAGATAGACAATCTACAAATTCAAATCCAGAGAAAAACTCAGCAGATGCAAAACCACTGGGATACCTTGAGAAAGCTTCTTGCTAGGCTAAAGCTCCTTCTCTTGGAATTCTGTACAATCTAAATTTACTCTCATTCCTAGAGGTGGCCTGGGTTATTGCTGAAGAATACAGATCCCAGAGGGAAAGTGCCTGGGTTAGCACATAGGCTCATGTCCTGCTGGTTCTATGACCTTGAACAAAATTAAGTAATCTCCTCATGTTTCAGTCCTTCACTGGTAAATTAAACATAATTGTAATGTCTGCCCCACGCTGTTTTGATGAGGACTTAATGAGTTATAAATGTAAAGTGAGCTGACATGCAATAAGAGATTGATAAGTGACAGAGTTAGTTTTCATTATCACAAAAAAGGCTACTGTCACCACCACTCCCAAACATCACTTCTATTACCCCCCATCATCCACACAAACACCACTATCATCACCCCATCACCATCACACACAAAATCTCCACCATTTTCACCCCACTATCATCTCTATTACCCCACAATCACCATCATCATCATACCCAACATGCACATAACTAGCATTACCACCACTTTAACCAACAACACACGACCATCACAACTGTTATCATCTCTATCACCACCACTCATACCACGAACACACCCACCATTACCTTTACCATCATTAGTACCTTCATCACCACTACTACAATCCTCACACATATGGTCATTTCCCCACCACCACCATTCCACCACCACTCCTACCAATACCACTACCAAAATTATCAGCACTAGGATCTTATCCTCTCCAACACTAATTCATACCACTAGGCTCAGCATTACCTCAGGTGCAGTGACTACTTTGCCTAACGTGAAATAATTAACTATAATTTAATGGTAATTGGAAGGTGCTTATTGCTTTTTATTATATAATATAACTGTTTCTAAGAAACACCAACAATTCTACTTGTCAGAATGAGTTTTAATAATGAATGTAGTTTTAGGCAAATGGAATGTGCCATATAAATACTTGATGATCAGTAGAATTTCAACCTACCTCCGTGTACTGTTGAGTGACAAGCTCTGGAGTTGGCCCCAAGAACACATAAAAATCCAGAATTCCCCCTGTGGTACGGTATGTCAGAGCAGGTGTGGGCTGGAAAGTCACATCTGAAAAGATAGGAAAGTGACAACTGAAAATTAAGCTGGAAACCTTCAAGGCAAAGAACAATCTGTGAATCCCTAACTTCATTCTATTGCACTCTAATCTATTAACAGCACCCATTCTGTACATACTTAAATGAAATTGAAACAGTTCAGTGAAAGTCTACAGAGTCCCACCCCAGGATGTGTTCCCTTTGGTATGCCTTATTATCTCATTATATTTATCGTTGTGCTATTTTAAAACTAAGGATATAACTTCTATTTCACAATAGTTTAAGACACATGCAGTGGCAAAAAGACTACTCTAAAGGTCTGTGTGCACCTCTCTCAGTATCCACCAATAATAACATCTCCTAAAACCGTATACTTAGTCAAACCAGGAAAATAACATATTATTAACTCCACCATGGAACTTTTTCAGAGTACACCAGGTTTTATGTAGACATTTTCTCCCCAAGCCCTGAATTTCCAACTCTTTCTTATGTAGAGTTTCACTTTTCTTTATACCTTCAAACTTAAAGAAGTGAGTGCTGGACATATACCTTCAAAATTAATACAATCTATGCAGACACTTCAAACTTAAGAACCTCTAGGACATCTGGGACTAACTTGGATTAGGACTAACTAGGATTAACTTCCATTCTTCATATGACATTTCTCCCAAAATAGAATTATATTAAATATTGTTATCTCATGCTACAAGACTGAAGTCAACAGAATGGAAAGAAGAAAAACAGCCACTGTCCTTTAAATAATTTTGACATTGGAAAGCTGCTAGGTCAAGGACATTCTACAGTTTCACAGGATGACTGACTGGGAGACAACAATAGAAGGAGCGCTGGAATCATCCTACCCATGGCATTGCTGTTCAGCAGGAGAACTCCATGGGCACTGCCGTCCTCCTCTAGTCCCATGTAGTAGGGGTGGACGCCATAGGAATTCTTCTTGTACTGAGTGTCACAGGGGAGAAATCAAAGGAGGTTAGAAGTCATTGTACATGATAAAGAATCCTAGAAAAACTTGTTTACTGAGATGGATTTGGTCTTCCCTCTAAAAGGAGGAAAACATAAAAAGCACAAATGAAAATTATCCTATAGTCTAAGAGCAGAAAAAGAAAATCTGAGTCTGGGATCATGTAGCACAAGGTGACCATGATGTATGTGGGAGGAAAGAGGCAGAGAGGCACATATCCACAGGGCTCCTTGCTTACCCCGGGGGGTTCATCTCTGGAAAACATGCCCCACGTGTGCCAGTTCAAGTCTCTCCTGAAGGCTGTGTGCTCATTTTCCCCAAAGCCATAGATGTACTTGGAGGGCAGGCGGGTGGAGATGCGGAGGAACATGTCATTGAAGGTGAAGCCAAGGAGCTGAGAGTCCCAACTGCAACACACACACAAAGGGTACATTCAGAAAAGAAAATTGGGGAAGCTTTGATTCTCACCACAACCCAGAACCCAACATCTCCCAAACACACCACAAAGTCTTTTTGATGACAATAATCACAGATATCCCCACTATGAACTTGGGAGTTTTCCTTCATATTCTATTTCTCAATTACATGGCCTGTTTTCAGTGTTCCCTCCACAAAACCAAATTCAATCCATCTCACCATCTCAGCTGCTAACACTCCACACAAGCCTTCCTTCAGCTCTTTCCCTTGAATAGTCCATTCCCTACAGCTTTCCAGACGGATATGTTTAAGTATCTCTCGTCATGTCACTCCCTGATGACCCTCTTCCATGGCTTCTCATGGACACACCTCATGAAGCCTTCCAGGCTGCACCTGATCTAAGCCTTCCTGACACCCCAGCTTCATCTCCCACCACTCACCTCCTTGCTCACCTCCTTGAATTTCATTCCTTGACATGCCAAGTTTCATCCTATATTGTGAACTATGTTCTTGGTCTATCACAAATGTTATTCCCTACTTGCATGGCTTTATGTTGGGGTTTCCTTCTCTGCATCCAGAATCAACTTCAAAAATTAACCCTTCAAATGAGACATACTCTCTCCAGAGTATCAAAAGCAGTAACCTCACCATAACTCTTAATTATCTGCTCATTTACTTAGAGTAATTATCACTATCAACTTCCTTTTAATATAGTTATGTAAATTATTGTGGTGGTGGTAAGATCAGAGGAATTATCCATCTATGAACATAATTCCTAAAACAATACTTAATATATTGAAATAACCCATAAACATTGAATGGATGAGTTCCCAGGAACATGGAACCAACTCAGCCATCATCCCAATGCCAAACATTACCCATAAGAACAGGGCTGAAGGGGTTTGGGGTCCTGGCTGAGGAGTCGAGCACTTGCCTAGCACATGCGAGGCCCTGGGTCTGATCCTCAGCACCACACAACAATACATAAAATAAAGGTATTGTGTTCAACTACTTCTAAAATATAAAATTTAAAAAAGAAACCCTAACTTTAAAAAAGAAAAAGGAGGAGGAGGAGGAGGAAGAGGAAGAGGAAAAGAAGCAGGAAGATGAGAACAACAACTACAGAGCTGAAGGAAATGGATCTGGAAATGGCAGAAAGAGGCCTGGGCCATTATCAATCTGGTCTATTATCAATCTGGACAATAGACCAGACAAAAAATGTACAGTTACATGGAAATTCCAAGTTAGAAATGAGCCACGTACATTACAGTGCCTGTACTCTTACGGCGAATTTCTATTCCAAATGGATTCTCCTTAATGAGGACATCATAGAGTCGACTCTCCACGGTGCTGGATGGAGTACTGGTTATGTTCAAGGGGACTGGGACTTCATAACGACTCTTGTTGGGGTCATAAATCTAGAGCAGAAGAAACTGACTTTAAGTAAGAATACAGATACAGGGAATGAGTTCTGGGTTTCTATTAACACAGATGAAAGGATGTTTAAATTACTCATCACTAAGAAATAAGAGATGCTTGCTACATAGATAACCTGATTATTCTCAATCAATTAAACCATAGTGAATTTTATCAAACATCACAACATACACATCATGTAAATGGACAAGCATTATCTGTCAAAAACAATTTAGGTACAGATATTATCCAAATATACATCCTTATAAGAATGTTAACATCATTGACAATGAGTCTAAATGCTATATATTTGCATTCTTTTAAGATCATGATATGTGGATTTAAGAGATACATCAAAGAACAACATCAGATTTAACATTTTGATCTGAATCCATCATATTTCACTATTAAGGCTTCTATTACAGTATCAAATTCACTTGACCCTTTGTGCTAACTTGCAACTTCATTTTGAAACGAGTGTGGTTTATGATTGTATCATTTACTATTTTGTGTTAGAACAGTAACATATACGAATACCTAAAATTCTTCAGTATTGAAAACTGTTTTCTCAAAATATGAACTTTGATTAGAATAATCATAGACTTGCTAAAAATAATAGATTAAATATTCTATGAGTACCTCACAAATGCACACATAATATTACAGAGGTAATTGTGCCTATGAACTTAATTATACAAGGCTACTGTTTTGAGAATTTCTCATGCTAATGGGAAGTTAAAGAGAATGATTCATGACACTTTGGCAATGTTAGTAATGTAGAATTCTAGAAATTCTGAGAGTACAGGCAAGGAGATGCCTAACAATGTTTCTGGGACATTGAGATGGTTCCATGGGAGAATTAAAGCCTGAATCATAAGAACTTTGAAGCTATAAGCAAGCACAAGAAATGAGATCAATCATTCTTGTAAAGCAACAGAAAACAAAAGGCACATAGTATTAAAGGCATCTCAGAAAGATGCAAGTGTTTCAGACAGAGAAACTGTATGGAAAGTGGTGGACTAGCTGAAAGCAAGTTCTTTAAGTTTGAGCCTTTATGGGCCCACCACCAAACATCAATGCTATAGTAAGGACACTAAAAACAAGAACAAACACAGAAAATAACCACCAAGAAAACAGACATCATTCCTTACATTAGCACATGTTACAGATCTGAGATTCCAAGTTGATGTCGCACATGTGAACACGTACTATCCATGAGCCTCTGTGTTATATTTCAGAAGCACAAAGAGGAAAGATACATTATGGCCACAGAAAAGCTGACAGTTTTAAGAGGGAAACAGACACAAAAACAGCTAGTCCACACATAGGTTTTAGATGTAATTAAACAATCTAAGGAAAAGAAATTATTGCACTTCATGGCTATTTAAGAGACATATCAATTTCAGTGTCCAAAACCAAACTCTTACATTGTCCACATACAATCCTTTTGAGTACTCCTCATTTCAGGTAACGTCACCATTGTCAACACAGACATGACAAAAATATGGTATTCATTTTTCAAGTCTCCCTCTCCCTTATCTACATTTACCATAAAGTCACCAGATAATGTAACACCCCTTCTTTTTGTTTTTATAAATGACAGCGAAATGCATTACAGTTCTTATTACACATACAGAGCACAATTTTTCATACCTCTGGTTGTATACAAAGTATATTCACACCAATTCATGTCTTCATACTTGTACTTTGGATAATAATGATCATCACGTTTCACCATCATTTCTAACCCCATGCACCCTTGCTTCCCCTCCAACCTCTCTGCCTTATCTTGAGTTCGTCTATTCCTCCCATGCTCCCTCCCCCTATACCACTATGAATCAGACTCTTTATATCAAAGAAAACATTCAACATTTGTAAACCCCCCCTTCATAGTCTAAAATGCTGACTTTTTCCCCATCTATTTTCCTAATCTCTTCCAATCTCAAACCCCATATTTGAGAACACATATTTGAGAACATCTTAATTTGTCTCTCTCTGTTTTGTTCTCCAAAAACCTCCTTAGAGTAGCCAGAAAACATCTTCAAATTGCAAATTAGAACAGCTCTCACTGGCAATGAATTCTCACTATGCTTTGAAATAGGATAGTAATCTAGTGCCCTATAAATTGAACCTTAAAAGAATTTCACATTTTAGAGTTCTATAACCTAACTTGAAAATATAATGTCACTAAAAAGGGCCTACTCAGTACCTGATACAAGTACCATGTTTACCTTAAATTGCAGCATTTCATCCTTATGGTAGGTCACCTGCAGGTGGAGGGGATTCACAGGTGTGGAGGGGAAGGTGTTGGCATAAACAGAAGGCTTTAAGGAGATGTCAGCCGTGGCCCCATGGGAGTTGTACTGGACATTGCTCACAGAGTACAGATCATTGACAAAATAACAATGAGGGACTCCAACAGAACTGGATTCCTAGAAAGGAAAGTTGAGATTGTAGATCATCAGGTGGTCCTAGAATTGTCAAATAGAAATAATCAGAGAAGGCAATCTGTATGGAGATAAAGCCAACACAGCACTCATTCATGTACATATAATTACATAGTGATAAAAAGTAAATTTCTAGACAAGAGCAAAATAATTATTAAAAAAAAAAACATGATCCCAATCCACATCTAATCTTCCTATACAGACCAGGTTCCTTGGAAGCCCTGTTTCTATGGAATTGAAGTAGGCACCTGGGTACTAGGGCTATGCTCAAGAAATTGCCGCCTAAGATTAAAGATCTGGGCATCCATCAACACCTCAGTGAGGTTACCTCCCAGGCACAGCCTCGGGCAATGCAGTTTGCTTCAGAAGCACCATGCTCATCAGGGTAGCAGTCTATTTTTTCTTCATCTCTGATGATTGTGTTCCACTCCACTGTGTATTCCTCTCCCAGCACAAGACTGATCTCTGTGATGATGGCAACCTGAAGGAGTGGAAAACACACAAAGAAATATCCTCAGAACAAAGGCCTGGCAAGTTCTGAATAGTTTTATCAACACATGTAGGCATCAGACCAGACTCTCAACAATAGTAGTAAGATTTGAAGGTAGTTCCTGTATAGTGGGCTATATACATGGAAGAGGGAATGTTCACTAGCAACATGGCAAATGACATTACCTTATTAAAATCTTGTGCATTATGTTGTGAACAGAATGAGATCAAATGAAACCTTCGGTGATCACCCCTTTCCTTTCCTTCCCCTTCAAGGAAGACATCATTAGTTGCTTCCTCTTTGCTCTTTCTCAAATTTTAGTAAACAAAATTCCCTAAAAATAGCTCAATTTTTGACAACATAGCACAGCTATGACCGTGAAAAAGTGAGAACTAGTTCCCGGGGACTTTCTGTCCAGGTATTTATTTCTAGATTTAAGGGTATTTTCTAACCCTATACCTCTCCCTACACACTCTTTCCTATCTCTCTTCCTGTATTTTCCCACAACCAGTAACTTGCTGACAAAATCTAAGCAGCTACTTCCTATCACAAGAGAAGAAAAGACCTTATTCTCAACAACATTGTGCCATTGAACCATGCCAGCCTGTAAACTATTATGTCTATTACTAGTGTCTACTTCTATACAGCTACTTGCAGACAGAAAAAAAAAGTCCTGTTTGTTACCATTTGGGGCTTCTTTCCCTTGTAGCTGATGAATCCAGACCTGATATGCTACTTTCTAGGCCCAGCACCGGACCTATTGTCTGAACAAACCTCAGCTCAACTGCTCCACTAAACTTTAAACATCAATTAAAACATGAAGGAACACTTCCAATATGTTGGTTTGGTCCTGAGTGTCTTCTCAATTGTTCGTGTGTACAAATCATGACACCTCACTACCCACATTCAAACACTAAAGGAGTTCCTAAGGTCTTATTAATTAACTTATTAATCAAATATGAATTGAGTTTGTTTTCCCACATGAATCCTTCATATACCTTGCACTTTGCCATATACATAACCAGCCATACAGAAATTTATTCCTAACTTCAAAATATGTGTATTCTCACATTGTGTTATCAGAACAAAATGTCAATTGTCAATTGTTAATATACAAGAAGTCTAAACTCACTTATTTTCCCCAAATTTGGACCATCCCTCATGAACCATGTTAACCCAGAAGATACAATGCCAGGAGTAAGTGCAGTACCATGGTCAGGATTATTGGGAGAAAGGAATTTTCATTAGACTCAGCATCAGAGTGAATGATTATAGGCTACTCAGGATGGCCATGTCTCCTCACAATCATTGAGAAATTATTCATTATTATTATCTAACCAAACAGGTACCCATCAAGTGGAATCACCAATTCTTAGTCCTAAACTGGTTTTTTAGAATATATGTGTTGGAGATAACTTCTACTCATCTCTTTAAAGTTTTCAAAAAGTGGGAACTTCAGTATTTGAATTCATGGGACTCCTTCCTCCCAACTTTACCTTTCAGCATCAGCCATCAGCTTCCAGATCCCTTTTCTTCTTACCTGTTCCACACTTTCCTAACTCTGCTCTCTTATGTATCCTGTAACTAAAATGTTGAAAGTGAAGCCAGTGAGACAGAGGAGAACTCTGAGAGGCTGGGGAAAGTGGGATCATCATCCCTGGTGAGCAGGACCTCCCTGTCTTACTAGCTCTGCCCATCACCTCTTCACCACTTCCATTCCCAGGCCCCTGACTTCCCCACCACAGGCATCCACACAACCTCAGGAAGCAGGAAAACCAAGGTGCTATGAATAATTCTGGAAAAACAACCTCAATACATGGATTTTTACCTTCAGCTGAGCATCATATGTGACCTTGGGAGCAGTCTGACTCAGGACACCATTGTGTTTCACTGTAACGTTGCTGGGTTCCTGTGTCCCAAAGATTTTAATCTGCTGAAATGCTAAATTATTGGGGTCCTTGTAGGTTGCTTGTGAAATCTTCACATCCAGGCGGTTCTGAAAGTCAAAATAGCACAATGAAGCCCAAAGCTGTGCCTCTAAAACACAGATTCTCCAGCCACTCAAATGCTCCATCCTAGCCAGAAGCTCCCCACTGCTCTGAATGCCTCTTAGCTCTCCCAACTAACAAATGCTGCGTGTATAAACTTACTTATACAATACTCATCAAAAAATAAATAATAAAATAAAATAAATAATCAGGAATAGACCATATTAATTCTGGAAAACAACATAGAGTATGACCAACTGCTTTGGTTCATCAATATTATTGCCTTCTTTTGATAAGATGGATGATACCTTATTGAAACTGAAGTCTTATATGACATTGTGTCATTTACCTGTAGCCATTAATGTTCTCATTTACTTATTTTTATGAAGATTGAAACATAATTACACATATGCACAAGCACATACGAGCCTATGGTTGACAAAATCTCATACCCTAGATTCATAAAAATGTGCTACTCACTTGGGTGGCAGAAAACTCACAGAAAAGGTAAACTTTATTGGCCACGGTATCTGAAAGCAGAAGAAAGACAAGTCAGAATGGCCTGCCCACCACACAAGAACAATTTCATCTACCTCTCCTTAAAGCTCATTCTGCAGACCCAAGGAGTAGGATTTCCTTCCTTTCATGATGGAGTACTATCCCACAATATATGTACACCATGACTTCTTATTCATTCATCTACATGTGATCACAGGTGTTTCTATATCTTAGCTCTTATAGATAATGCTGCAATTATCATGGGTGTGCACACATCTATTTGATATGCCGATTTCATTTTATTAGATATATACTTAGAAGTGGGATTGCTGGATCATAAGATGGTTCTATTTTCAATACTTGAGGAACTTCTACATTGTATTCTAAAAAGCCTGTACCAGTCTGCACTTTGAACATGAATGTACACACTTTGATTCCACTTTCTCCACATACACATGAACATTTGTTATGTTTTCTTTTTTCACAGTAAATATCCTAATAGGTATTAGAAGGTAGCTCAGTGTAATTTCTCTGCTGATTTTGATTTGATTTTCAGGACATTTTCCTATACCCCTTAATCAATTTAATGTTTTTGGAAAAACAACTATTCAAATCCTTTGTCCGATTTTAAAAATCTAATTCTTACATACTTGTTATTAAAATGCAATCTTTCCTAGTGTTTTTTTTTTGTGTGTGTGTTAAGGGACTTATCATATTTGTGGTTTGTACATATATTCTTCATCTGTGGGCTCCCTTTTCATATTATTGACTTACGTATAGGATAAAAACTTTCTAGCAAGATTTAGTCCCACTGATTTAATTGCTACTATTCTTATCTCTATTTTTAGTGTCATATCCAATTAAACACTTCTAAGACCACTGCCAAAAATAATTTTGGTTTTTTTCTCTCAGGAATTTATGGCTTCTCCTCAACTTTAAGTTTTTAATTCATTTTTCACAATAACTGAGATATAGAAACAACCAAATGGTCAAACTACTGATTCATGGATAATAAATTGTTCTAATACATAAAAGGAATATTATTTAGCCCTAAAAATAAGAAAATCTTGTCATTTCTGACAATATGGATGAAGCAGGGGTACTCTATAGTAAGAGACACAAGCTACACAAAGAAAGAAACTACTATATGCTCTCATTTATATGTATAATCTACAAAAGTTGAATTTGTATAAACAAGACAAAACAGGGGTTGAAAAGTATGGGGGAAAGACGTTCTTGTGAAATGTTGGTTCAAACATACTAACATTCAACTACAAGAAGACAAGTTCTGGGAAACTTATATGCAGCATGGCTGGTGATGGACGTGAAATAATTTGACTGTGGCAATCATTAAAAATGGTATATGGGTATATTTTTACCTTGAATACCTTCAATCTTTCCATGTAAGTGAGATATTTCAAATAAAATAAATAGGATAATATTTAAAAGCTACATTTTTACATTGAGGAAATTATAGAGTATTCCAACAAGATATGGATCTGCCCTCTCTTCCTACAGTGACTTTGAGAAGATCCCATTCCAAGAGCTTTCATACATATGAATCCCAGGAATCTATTTCCAAAGATAGGACCCCAAGAATTGTTAGTGCATTGGTGCCAAAACATGTGGTAAAACACAGCTAGATGCAGATACACTCCAAAAGTACATTCTCCTGGCCTTCCTGATATGTTCTTAACATTTGTTGCTAAGTATTTGGGGGAAGACATTTACATTACAGATGACTTATTGGAAAATTCTTGACCATATGTCATCCGGGTGTCCATAGATAATAAAATGTGAGTCTATTATAGATCACTGGCCAAAGGCACACTGCTGAGAAATAGAGACATGTTGTCCTCACATTGGTGGTTATTTGATACATCTCAAGTAGCAAAACCAGAAACAAACTCTTCTCTCAAGTGACTTTTGCTACCATGCCTGGGATTTTTCTCCTCCAGATGCATGACCAGCAAGAGTAAGGGTCCATAACACACAGACGTAGCAAGCAACACATTCTCATAACAGACTCACCTATTGATTCCCCATCATCCCAGAAAAGTTCTCCTGATGCTTCATTGTTCTTATCCAGGGCAATGATGAGACCAAGAGGGTTCTGCCGACTGTGGGAAACAGCAGTTACATAACACACAAAGGTCAGGACTGAAAGAATTTTGCAAATCCTTCATATTTCAAAGGGGAAATATTACTTGGAAAAGATGATTTTGTTTTCCTCAGGAACAAAGGGCAAATTAGAAGGTGTTTCTTTGTCTAGAATAAATAATGTTATATGAGATAGAAATACCCTAAGCATTATCAATAAACATTTATGTAGGAGGCAATAACTTAAGCATCAGAAGCACTGCAATAGGTACAATGAAAGCAATGACTACAATTCTTATTTAGAATACAGCCTATTGGAAGAGAAAGAGATCCTATTAAAAAAAAAACTATGCATTCGGTCATTTTATAAATGAAACCTTCAGAAATGTCATCAGCTATGAGGGAGATCACTGGTCCTACCTAAGGACCAGTTTAACTCAAGAGGCAAAAACACAATAACGCCCATTTGCATAATGCTACTTCCCTTACTTGATAACTTACTATTATTTGTGTTGAGATAAAAAGAAAATCATTCTAACATTTGCCTTATAATGTGGAAACGGGAGCATAACACAATGTCCAAAGAGATGGTGCACAGTGCTGGAAGCAGAGAATAAGAAGGCAGGAAGAAAGCCATTTCCTGAGGCATCTCCTCATGGCCCCATGCCTCTGGACTCCCTGCTGAACTCTGGCTCATCATGTGCCCCTCCCTGGCCTTATGTACCCTAGTGTGTTCTTTCACACTTCAGCCTTCACTACACAGGTTAGGTTCTAGGATAGCACACTTGCCCACTCTCATTCTCTGTGCAACTGTTAATCAGTCACTGTCAAGAAGTACAGGACACACATACAAATAAATCCAAAGTCATAACTTCTTTGGTCTTCATTATAATACACATCAGAGACAGTCACCAAACTACTGAAGCAGAAAAATAACAGTGACACAATAGGTGAGAGCTGATAGCACTCCAGAATGACAGTCCCAGAGGATGATGGATTAGATATTCTAGAGTGCATACCCATTGAAATACTACTTGATCCCAGATATTTTCCAACAGAAGTATAATTAAAAACATTCTTGGTTTGGAAGAAAATAAGTAGGCACATCTAAAGAGAATAAAAACCAGGAAGGTTGCCCTCTTTAGCTACCAATGTGGAAATTCAGAGAAATTCTGGAGGTATAAGAATACAGGTACTGTCATGATCTTTCAAATCTATCTGGGTGCAGCCCCAGATCAACATCTTCTTGAGAAAGACCCGAAGGCAATCCAGGCAGAGTGTGATGACCCTATCACCATACACGCATCTCAGCACCTCTGCTCCCCACACTCCACATGCTGCTGCAGCAGCCTCTGGTCCACTGATGGATGTAGAACTGGATGATTTGAAAAATGTTAAAACACAAATCACCAAATGAGCAAAAACAAAAAAGTAAAGCGAGTTTGGTATAAACTGCTTTCTCCTTGAGGGAGATAGTGTTGCCCATCAGAAGTTGTGGTGAACCAGTGTGTAAAGAGGAACACTAGGCCTGTACTCACCTCAAGTGTGTGTTCAGTGCAGGCTCCTGCAAGGGCAGGATGTAGCCCCCACGGACATGAAGGTTAATGTGGTTGAGAGGCGCTGCTAGGTCCTTCCACACTCCCCTGGCATTAGTGTTTGCACCCTGTGGGATGAGGAAACAGAAGATGAGGGAGAGGACACATTCTGCCCTGAACAGTGCATCTGGAAGAAGCCTCCTCTACCCCACTGAACGTGCTACCTGCTCATCAACTCAGCACCACCTGACGGTAACCTTCTACCTTCCCTCAGCTGCTATGTGAAGTCCTAATGGGCTGCTTTATGTCTAGGAGGGTCCATTGCCTTTCAGCATGGCTACAGCACATCCCATTTGAGGTCCTAGTGTGGATAACAGCCCACCTTCACCCACAACCTCTTTCTGAGACACAAAGCACAGCTACAGGAGGCTGCACAGCCATTCCTTCACCTCTTGTTGGTTCCTCACACACTGTCCACAATTGCATGTCTGCAACTGCTCCTTCACTAAGTGTCTCCTCAGTCGCCATCTGTCCTCAGTCTCCACTCCCACCCACCTAACCAAAAGTTTGGCCTCCTACTTCACAGAGAAGATCAAAGTGAGCTCACATACTTTGTAATTCCTCTTCTTCTACTCCTTACCTGAGTGCTCATGATTGACATCTTTATCCTTCTCATGTGAGAGTGGATCCCTTGTATGAACCAATCTCTAGAAATCCCAGGGGATCTTACACATTTTCTCAACTAGAACAGGGCTGCTCAGCGTTGGCACTACTGACATTTGGGGCCAGATCATTCTTTATTGTGAGGCTTCCCTGTGCTCTTTGATGTTTATCAGCATCTTCAACTTCTACCCACCAAACCCTAGAAGCTACTTACTTCTACCCCACTTATGATTTCCCAAATGAAGCCACACATTGACAAATATCCCCTTGGAGACAAAAGTCTAAGGATGGTTCCATAGAGGTAAGCAGAGTGGATATTGAAAACAAATAAAATGATGTGTACATTAAAAGTTTATTTACAAATAGTTGAAAGCCAGATTTGTCTAGGGGCCAGATTTCACCAATATCTACTGAACAACAAAGAATAGGGTCCAAAACATGTGAACATTATTTGAAGAGGCATTCCTTCATTAATCCCAAACAGGGAACATTTATTTTAATTAAACATTAAAGTGTTCCTTTTCTCTAAGTAGCTTACTGCATCAACTTTTATCTTTCCATTTCATTCCTTGTTACTCTCCTCTTTAGCTGGAGCTGTATTCTACTAAAAGTCTTTGGTAAAAGTAGTTATTCTAGTGCTGGAGATAAAGCTCAGTTATAGAGTGATTCCCTCAAATGTAAAAAGCCATGTGTTCCATCCCCAGCACCACAAAATACATACACACATAAACAAACAAACAAATAAATAAATAAAATTATTTTTTATTATATGACACGGGAATGCATTACAATTCATATTACACATATAGAGCACAAACTTTTCATATCTCTGGTTGAATACAAAGTATATTCACACCAATTCATGTCTACATAAATGTACTTTGGATAATGATGTCCATCACATTCCACCATCATTTCTAACCCCATGCCCCATCCCTTCCCTTCCTACCCCTCTGCCTTATCTAGAGTTCATCAATCCTTCCATGCGCTCCTCCCTATCCCACTATGAATCAGTCTCCTTATATGAAAAAAAAAATCAGCAGTTGATTGTTTGGGATTGGCTAATTTCACTTAGCATTATCTTCTCTAACTCCATCCATTTACCTGTAAATTCATGGTTTTATTCTCATTTATTACTGAGTAATATTCCATTGTGTATATATGCCATATTTTTTATCCATTCATCTATTGAAGGGCATCTAGGTTGGTTCCACAGTTTAGCTATTATGAATTATGCTCCTATAAACATTGATGTGGCTGTGTCCCTGTAGTATGCTGTTTCTCTGTCCTTTGCGTATAGACCAAGGAGAGGGATAACTGGGTCAAATGGTGGTTCCATTCCCAATTTTTCAAGGAATCTCCATACTGCTTTCCATATTGTCTGCACCAATTTGCAGTCCCACCAGCAATGTATGAGTGTACCTTTTTCCCCACATCCTTGCCAACACTTATTGTTGTTTGTCTTCATAATATCTGCCATTCTGAATAAGATGAAATCTTAGAGTAGTTTTGATTTGTATTCCTATAACTGCTAGCAATGATGAACATTTCTTCATATATTGGTTGATTGATTGTATATCATCTCCTGAGAAGTGTCTGTTCACGTCCTTGGCCAATTTATTGATTGGTATATTTGGGTTTTTTTTTTTTGGTGTTTAGCTTTTCGAGTTTTTTATACACCTTAGAGATTAGTGCTATATCTGATGTGTGAGGGGTAAAAATTTGCTCCCAAGATGTAGGCTCTCTATTCACCTCACAGATTGTTTCTTTTGCTGAGAAGAAACTTTTTAGTTTGAATCCTTCCTATTTATTGTTTCTTGATTTTAATTCTTGCGCTATAGGAGTCTTAATAAGGAAGTTGGGGCCTAATCCCACATGATGAAGATTAGGGCCTACTTTGTCTTCTATTAGACGCAGATTTTCTGGTTTTATTCCTAGGTCCTTGATTCATTTTAAGTTGAGTTTTCTGCATGGTGATAGACAGGGGTTTAATTTTATTTTGTTGCATATTGAGTTCCAGTTTTCCCAGCAGTGTTTGTTGAAAAGGATATCTTTTCTCCAATGCATTTTTTTGCTGCCTTCATCTAATATAAGATAATTGTAATTTTGTTGGCCAGTCTCTGTATCCTCTATTCTGTACCATTGGTCTACCAGTCTATTTTGGTGCCATTCCATGCTGTTTTTGTTACAATTGCTCTGTAGTATAGTTTAATGTCTGGTATAGTGATGCCACCTGCTTTACTCTTCCTGCTAAGGATTGCTTTTGCTATTCTGGGTCTCTTATTTTTCCAGATGAATTTCATGATTGCTTTTTCTATTTCTATTTCTCTGAAGGATGTCATTTGGGATTTTGACTGGAACTGCATTAAATATGGGTAGTGCTTTTGGAAGTATGGTCATTTTGATACTATTAATTCTGCCTATATAAGAGCAAGGTAGATCTTTCCATCTTCTAAGGCCTTCTTTGATTTCTTTCTTTAGGGTTCTATAGTTTTCATTATATAGATCTTTCACCTCTTTTGTTAAGTTGATTCCCAAGTATTTTATTTTTTTGAGGCTATTATAAATGGGGTAGTTTTCCTCATTTCCCTTTCTAGGGATTTGTCATTGATATACTGAAATGCATTTGATTTATGGGTGTTGATTTTATATACTGCTACATTGCTGAATTCATTTACTAATTCTAGAAGTTTTCTGGTGGAATTTTTGGGTCTTCTAGGTATAGAATAATGTCATCAGCAAATAGTGCTAATTTGAATTTTTCTTTTCCTATGTGTATCCCTTTAATTTCTTTCATCTATCTAATTGCTCTGGCCAGTGTCTCAAGAACTATTTTAAATAGAGGTGCTGAAAGAGGGCATCCCTGTCTTGTTCCAGTTTTTAGAAGAAATGTCTTCATTTTTTCTCCATTTAGAATGATGTTGGCCTTGGGCTTAGCATGGATAGCCTTTATGATGTTGAGATATGTTCCTGTTATCCCTAATTTTTCTAGTGCTTTGAACATGAAGGGATGCTGTATTTTGTTGAATGTTTTTTTTTCTGAGTCCCTACTGAGATGATCATATGATTCTGATCTTTAAGTCTATTGAAGTGATGAATTAATTACATTTATTGATTTCTGTATATTGAGCCAACATTGCATCCCTGGGATGGATCCCACTTGATCGTGATGTACTATCTTTTTGATATGTTTTTGTATTCAATTTGCCAGAATTTTATTGAGAATGTTTGCATCTATGTTCATTAGCGATATTGGTCTGAACTTTTCTTTCTTTGATGTCTCTTTGCCTGGTTTTGGAATCAGGGTGATATTGGCCTCATAGAATGAGTTTAGAAGTGCTGCCTCTTTTTAAATTTCCTGAAATAAAATGAAGAGTATTGACATAGTTCTTCTTTAAAGGTCTTGTAGAACTCAGTTCTGTATCCATCCACTCCTGGGCTTTTCTTGGTTGGTAGGCTTCTGATGGCATCTTCTATTTCATCGCTTGTAATTGATCTGTTTGAATTGTGTACATCATCCTGATTCAATCTGGGAAAATTATATGATTCTAGAAATTTGTTGAAGTCTTCAACATTTTCTATTTATTGGACTACAAGTTTTCAAAATAATTCCTAATTATCTTCTGTATTTCTGTAGTGTCTGTTGTGATACTTCGTTTTTCATCCCGTATGTTAGTAATTTGAGTTTTCGGTCCCCTACTCTTCATTAGCATGGCTAAGAGTTAGTCAATTTATTTTTTCAAAGAACAAACTTTTTGTTCTGTCAATTTTTTCAATTGTTTATTTTGTTTCAATTTCATTGATTTCAGCTCTGATTTTAATTATTTCCTAGCTTAATTATTTCTACTTCTTTTGGTGTAGATTTGTTCTTCTTTTTCTAGGGCTTTGATATGTAATGTTAGTCATTTACTTGTTGACTTTTTCTTCTTTTAAGGAATGAACTCCATACAGTGAACTTTCTTCTTAGAACTGCCTTAATAGTGTCCCAGAGATTTTGATATATTGTATCTATGTTCTCATTCACCTCTAAAATTGTTTTGATCTCCTTGTTGATATATTCTGTAACCCTTGTTCATTCAGTAGCTTATTGTTTAGTCTCCAGATGTTGGAATAGCCTTTATTCCTTATTTTATAATTGATTTCTAATTTCATTCTATTCTGATCTGAGAGAATACAGGGTAGTATCTCTATTCTATCAGAGAGATTTTTTTATGTTTGTTAAGAGTTTCTTTGTGGCATAGTATATGGCCTATATTAGAAAATGATCCATGGGCTGCTGAGAAGAAAGTGTATTTGCTCACTGAAATAAAATTCTTTAAAAAAAAAGTCATTCTAGATATTTCTTTCTTAGTTCTCACATTTTTCTTTCTTTAATGTGGTACATATACTTATTCAAATGCATTAGGGTTTATAAATGCAAGCATTAGCTCTTCTACATAGTAAGCATCATGGGGAAATGTGTCCAGGATGCCAACACCTACAGCTCAGTACAGTGCTTGGCACTTGTGTAAGGCAGGGGCCAGTAGGAGACTTGTGAGATGCCAGAAGTGCAAAATGTAGGGAAGACCTCACACCCCAGGTCACACAGTCAAGCTCATCCACACAATGGTAGGCCACACAACACTGGGTACCCAGGGTCCTCCCTGGTTTAACCCTACCTCAGGCCCTGCAGCAGAAAGTCCCAACACATTAAAACAACTGTTAGTGAATAGCACAGTCCACATGCACACTCAGGGCCAAGGCTAAGCTCAACTAAACAAAGTTGGCTGCTCTCTGCCCTGAAACTCCTGGCAGGAAAGCCCATAGCAGAATCCAAACACATTGCCACCCAAAGAACAGACCCACAGGCAATAAAGAAGGGAAGACAGGAATGAGTGCTCCACAAGACAAAAAAGAGAGGACTGCACTTCCATTGCCTCACCCTGTTTTCACACAATCCCACTGAAATCCCTAGGATGAGAGGGGCCAGCACATGTGTTGCTGCCCACCTTCCTCCCGAATTTCTTGTCCCCCACATCGTTCTCTTCAGGAAGTCAGAAGAGGAAGCCTGACATCAGTGAGGACATTCCTCAGTCTTTCTCAAGAATCCTTTGGGACTCAGGCCAACCCTACACAACTGACCAATTTCTTCTCCTGCTTCTTTGGTCAATGTCTGTGCATTGCTTAGATTTGCAAGTGGAGGTTCGGGTCTGTGGTCCTTTATACACTACCTCATAGTCCACTTACTTAGGTAATTAATAGAGTGTTAACTTTTATTTCAGCATCTTTACTGTAGAAGAAGAAATTTTTTAAAAATAGAGAAGACAAAAGAACTTAATACTTAGGGAATTGCAGCAGGAAAGGAGAAAAGTAAAAGCTACAATGCAATTTTAAGAAATATCTAGTGTCCCAGCACAGACAAGTGACTGAAGAAGAAAAGACAGAAACTCGCATGAACACCCACAACAAGCTGGGCCATGAGTGAGAAATTATATGTGCTATTTCTCAATGAAGGAGTGGTCATAGCCCACCTGGGGGAGAAAAAACTGAGGTTATAAGGTTAAAATTTTCTTTTATAGGACCACACAGCCAGCTTGTTGCCTGAGGTCTGTTAGATCTAAAATCTTTGAACCATGTTGCAAGTTGAATACACATTGAGGAAAACTTACCGTGTAGTAATCATACCAGCGGGCTTCTGGGAAATAAGCAGTGACATTTCTGGCATTCTAAAATTAAACACAAACAAGGTATGAGCAGTGGACACTGTTATCTAAGACAGAAAACAATTTGAATAAGAAAATGGGTAGAGCAATAATGATTGTATTCGACCAACTCATCACAGCTCTCTGAAATCAAACACAAACAATGGGTGGTCAAGAGGCACTGTTTTTGGAGACCTAGTAAGCAATATGGCAGGAGAGGGCCAATTAATTAATGGTGGCTGATACCCATCTATCTTAGTGCCCTGAAGATCAGCACTACTGAGTAAGTCTTCAAACTTCACCTTTCAAACGCAGTAAAGTTCACTGTACCAACACAAGGGGCTTTCAGAGAAGCCTTGGAGATCCAGGAAGTCACCAATAAGAATTAGATTTGCTCACAGGCTCATAGGAATATCCCTCTAGAGAGATAAACAACTCGGGGTAGATGTGGATCTGGAGTCAGAGTTTGAGGAGGTGAGAATTATGGTGCTTTAATCAGAATCCTAAGCTACCATGAGGGGAAGTGAAGACATGGGCTCTGCTGGCTGCAGGACCTTGCACAGAAGCAAGGCCAGGCTATCGGAGGTTCATTGATGTTCACATGCTGCCAGGGGTTCTCCAGGAAAGTCTGTTTCAATGGTGACAGAGGACTGTGATGAATTCTTCATACTGAGGCCCCATCTATCCCTGGACTCCTTATTTTAGTCAATAAACTAAAAATGGTATCTCGCCATATCATAAAGATACAGTTTTTCTTGATTATCTGATGAACTTGAACTGCTAGGCTAACTTACAACAAAAAGGAACTGAGGCCAGAACACCTACATGCTGCACTTCTGCTCAGAAGGAGAGGAAGACACAAACCAAGAACAATCACTCATATCCCTGGATCCACACACACCAGGCTTCTTCTCCTGCCCCTATTTGATACCCTCACACCTGAGATCAGAGGCCTCCATACTCACAGCCTGCAGCACAGGGCTGACTAGGAAGGCTGGACCCAGCAGGAACTGATCATCTATGTCCCATGTCACCTGGTCTGACACAAACCTGGGAAGGTAAGAAGATGTCACAGTCAGAGTCCAGGCCCAAGTCCCCAAGGAACAACTCAGATTCAGAGGCAAGTCTCCCCTCCAACTCCATCTTATGTCATCCATAGTCTTTGCCTATATGGATCGGAATACACAGACTTCAATATTCTACATGTCATTTTTTGTGACTCTCAAAAACAGTTCAGATATAAATGGTCACTTGAAAAATACTCCACCACATCCCATGACACATTCTAAATGTAAAAAAGGCAATCAGTGCCTTCTCTTGTGACTCCAACTAATATTGGCTTTAGTCCACATAAACACAATACTACAGCAGAGAGAGAAGTCTCTGTGTGGCCAAATAGGAAAGAAATGAGGCTCTGTGGCATCTTCTCAAATATTTTTCACTCAATAAATACCCTTTCTCAATAACACATAGTGTGAATAAAACAGAGTGCAAAGTGTGGACTCTGCGTGGAGAGCTTATGACAAAATAAATCTTATCTTCATTGAGAAGAATTTTTTGCATCAACTGCCACCCTACAAAACCAACTAAACTATGCATCAGTCCCTGGGACCCCAGCTGGACACTGACTCGTGCAGAAGAGGCCGCACCACAGTGCTGCCCTCCGTGTGGGCCTTGAACATCAAGGTGTACAGATATGGCAACAGGGTGTATCGGGTCTCCATCACACTCCTGGAAATATTCACAAAGGCAGCATCCCAGGACACAGGGTCTTGTCTCTAAGGAATAAAAGCAAAGGTGTTGAGAGCCCAACCCAGGGACCCTAGGGGGCAAAGAAGGTAAAGGAAAGCTTGATCCAAGTACATCATACACAGCTAAGATAAAGGTGATTACAAGTGACACTCTGAAATATACTGAATAGTCCGATAATAGTCAGTGAGGATCTTCCAGGAGACCTCATGGAACTTTCCCAGAAAAAACACTTCAGGGATATACTTGGAACAATCCTTCCTACACCTAAAGAATCCTCTGATAATTCTGTGTTTTTTGGCAATTGTGAGGAGCTTTGATGGTTTTGAAAATCTCCCAGGAACAAAGATGGTCTGGACTGGGACTCCAAGGTGAAGGCTGCACAGCATGTGAGGCAAAGCACGTGAGGAAGGAGGAAGGTCCTACCCTGGTGCCAATGGTGTTGTGGTTCCTGGAGAAGGGGTAAAAGGCTCCCAGCTGCATCCAGCGAGCACACATCTCATACTCAGCATCTTGAAAGAACCCACAGATATCTGCTCCCGTCTGTAACCAGAGGAAATGAAACCAGCCTGTGGGTGATTGCTCACGGGTGTCAGTGTCCTCTTAGGGATGAGGAGGAGCAAAGGTCACTTACATAGGAGATGCCAAAGAGGCTGAACTCCATCATGCCTGCAATGAGAACCACGGCTGTCAGGAGAGGCATGTGTGTGCCCCGCCCTCTCCTCCCTCCTTTCCCAAGGACACCAGCTCCCTTCCCTGCAGCAGAGGCCCCTGGGAAGAAGCCACACACCAATGATAGATTTCTTCAGCTGGTCCCATGCGGCAGTGTTGTCTCCCAGCCAGTGTCCTCCCCAGCGGCCAGAGGAGGGGAATGTGGAGCGGGTGATGACGATCCCTCGCTGTCCAGTCACCTCCTGCACAGCTCTGTAGGAGGGGAATGTACAGGTGAATTGAGGACACAGCAAGAAGAATGGAATAGGGCTTCCCTTTCCATAAAAAGAACAGAGGACATGGTAACAAAATGTTGGTTACGTGAATGGCGGGAATATGGGAGACTGAGCAATGGAGAGGGTCCTACTGACCGATGGAGACAACACCACCTTCATGGTGTCTTAACAGGGATTTCACCATGTTTCATACCCACTGGTTACCCAGAGAGTAAGAAATCACTGAATCCTGCCACTTATTTATTATCTCTTGGTTATCTGTATTTGAGGAATAGGAGAGAATATCACTATATGGGATTTTTCTTAGGATAATTTCTAATATACATTGAGATTAAAGGGTGTGGGCTGCTAATTCCACAGAAGATCCATTTACTGTACATTAAAAATGGAAAAAATATGCTGACATAGAAGTTTTACTGTTGAAGAAAAGGTGAGATATGTACAGTCCTTATGTTCTCTTTACCTCACATAACTAATGCGTTTAAAGAAGCAACTGCACTGTGTAATACTAACTCGTGCCATCACGTGAGTCACCCCAAACAGAACTACTACTTTCTCACTTATGCGACTATATCCTATTGAACGTTGACCTCCTACATATACTCACAGGGGATAGCCCCATGGTTTAGGACTATTTGTTGCAAAAAAACAAATGTGACAGAGTTACAACTAATTGTTCTCAATCTTGCGATGGATTGCTATGAAAAATAAAAATTCCCAGCACTATGTGTCCCCACAGGCTGAGCCCACTGGAGAAGGAAAACAATGACTCACTCATATGTGGGTCTGGTCTGGGACCACCCGTACAGGCTGTGCACATCATAGTGTCGCACCCGGGAGCCATCTGGAAGGATCTGCTCACTCTCCATGCACAGGGTCTTGCTGCTTAGGCCCCGGTCCCTGGACTCCAGATCTGAGGGAAAAGATTTGGGAAGGTGAAAACCAGCCCTGAGCCTTTTAGTCCCTGACCTCTCCTTAAGGCATTTAACTACACATCTTAAGATTGACTTGACTTCACAATGGCCCCAACCATGGGATTGTAACTAAGAAAAGGGCTTTCTAGACAAATTCAGGAAATTTGCCCAAGAGATCCAGAAACTTGCAGTGATAAGTTTGGTAAAGGACTTGAAATATTTAGTTTCTAGCCCCCAATAAACGAGGAAACTCATAGGGTTCTGTTGGTCAGGGAAAACCTCTGGCGCTGATCTCAAACAATGATTATCTTCCATCTAGCCATGGAGAAGCCCAAGGGTCCTTACGTGGCATGTAGGGAGGATGGTTCAGACTGGCATCACTGCAACCTGAAGGAACAGCCCCATTCACAAAGCTCGATGGTTCATTCATATCCTAGAAAAGTCAGACACAGACATTGCTTACTCTTAACTGAGAGACTTCTTGTCAATTGAGAGCCAAGGGAGTGGTGAATATATCATTCCCACCAGTACACCTGCTTGTGGGTACTGGTGTGTGTGCTTGCCCAGTCTGGCTCATCAAATCCAGATAAGAATTGGCTAAAAAAAAATTGATCCCTAAAGGATGACTGACTAGAAGGTCAAAACAATATTCCCTCAGGGTAAACAAGTTTTTGAGACATTCTTGGCAATCTCCCTAGAGGTTTGACAGAGTGAGTTACAAGATACAAGGAATATCAGGATATTCCACACCTCAGTTCAGGAAATGCAGCATTACATATCCAAAGTCTTTCTCAGAATATTAATATCACCTTGAGTAAAAGTCTGACATTCATATGGTAAATCACACCAAGTTAAACACACACACACTTACAATCCACATGCCATCAAACTTCAAGCTCCTCTCTGGATTCTCTGGGTTGTTGTACAGTTCTGCAATTTCTCTCTTCCACCACAAGGCAGTTGAATTACGGAAAAAGTCTGGGAAGGCCACATAAGCTCGGTATTCCTATAAAAACATATATAATTCACTATCCCAAATGAATATATCAGACAGCAACAGGCACTTTTGAAGAACCTAATTAATGAAAAGACTATACTACATCATGGCAGAGAGCAATAGTCTCAATAGAGCCTACCTTATGTTCTTGATAATTGAGAATACATTGAGGGCAATGAGGAGAATTATGGATGAATTTGACACATTTGAAAATGTCCATAATCTGTTTCCTTTTCATGCCATCATGAATGCTATCAATTGACACCCTGACCCACTATCCCTGGCTTCAGATTCCCAACCTGCACTTTTTATCCTGCCTTTTCCTAAGCTCTCCCAAAGATCCTGCAGGGACCAGGGAACAACTGTAGCTGGAAAGGGCAAACACCACAGGCACTGTACCAGAGGAAAGGCAACGACCAGGTGGCATGGCAATGTGTCATATCCACTGGCAACATGGGAGAGGGGAGAGATTACATTTCATGACATTAGACTGGCATGCATGAGTGTTTTTTTGGCTTCAGAATCATGTGAGCATTGCAGTTGTGTGTAACATAATATAGAAAAATTTAAGGAGGAACCTCAATAAATGTCTCCTTTTCTCCTTCTTCCATCAAGCAGGAAAAGCAATGTCTTCAATTTAGAATGGAAAGTGGATTCACATATCAGTTCTTAAATAGATTGTAAGGTTTTTAGATCAAAGACTTTGTCTTATACACTTTTGATTGGTCTTTATGATCCCTACAAAGCAGAGCTTAGAAACTGTCATAAGAATAAGGGAATGATAATAAATGTTTAGTGTTTAATTTGGGAAGAACATCACTCAGTAGCAGCAAATATGCATGAATGTCTATATATTCTATGTTGTTAGAAAACACTCTGATCCTTGGTGTATCTCAAAACAATTGAGCCTCCTCTGTGGTAAACTCTGCCTCATATGATATAATGAGCTAAATAATGCTGGAGAATAGAAAGAATCCCCAAAGAGGACTTGATATAGGCAAGTTTGAGTTTCTTGTATAACGCAAAAATGGCAAGTGGGATCCATATGTCTAGATAACAGTCAAATGAGGAACACCAATAAGAAAACAGTAATGGGGCTGGGGATGTGGCTCAAGCGGTAGCGTGCTCGCCTGGCATGCGTGCGGCCTGGGTTTGATCCTCAGCAACACATACAAACAAAGATATTGTGTCCGCAGATAACTAAAAAATAAATATTAAAAAAATTCTCTCTCTCTCTCTCTCTCTCTCTCTCTCTCTCTCTCTCTCTCTCTCTAAAAAAAAGAATAGAAAACAGTAATGGATCATCATGCACAGATCTGGTTCTCAGAGGACAGAAAGGGCAAGGGGCCATATCACTGAGAACTTTGGATTCCTTTGTTAGGAAATGGAAATAGAAAAGTATGGAAATAGACACAGAATCTTTCATCACAAACAGAGCTGCAGCTATGGCCATGTCAGAAACCATGGTATGTGTGGAGAGTGGGGATTAAAGAAATGAATCATGATCAGCTGTTTGAGAGACAGAACTGTATCTCCTGTAGGATACATGTGGTAAATCAGCCCAACCACGGTTTTCTAACTTTACTAAATGCTGCTGTAATGATCCTTACCCATGTAGTAAAAATTCCCTCCCCTTCGCCAAAGTGCTATCCAAATTCAACTCTTGCCATATTGCTTCTATCCTCAAACTGTGATGTTCACATCTGCACAAATGCTCTCAGAATTACTTATTACAATCCATTGCATGATACTGTAATTCAATTCCTAGATGCCACCACAAACTTACTGAATCAAACAGTGAGATTCAGACTCAGAAATCTGCTTTTCCACTACTTCATGGATGAACATTTACTTGCTTATTTGCTTACTTGCTTGCTTGTTTTATATTACCCTCAGGAATGCCAGACCTGAACATCAATAATCTCACTTTAATTCGTCTCAGCACATGGGTACTACTAATTTAATGGTTATAATTATTCTAATCACCAATAATCTCTTACAAGCTATCTAATATATTTTTGGTACCCAAATGAAGCATTTCTCATCAAAGGCACAATTTCACATTGGGGTCAAGAGAATTCTTTGTGAAGAATCCCCTGCTATTAGAGGTAAGAGCATCCCTAGTCACTGCCCACCAAATATCAAATGATGCTTCCACATCACTGAGGTAACCAAACAGCCACAGGGACTTCTGAATCCCCACAATATGGCAGCCCCAAATGGCTGATGAACTGTGTTAATTCATGAACTCATAAGGTAATAGCAAATCTCTTCAATAATGAAAATGATCTTAAACCAAAGACAGCGAACTTTGTGTCAGATTGGCTATGGCATGACTTGATTCTATGTCCTTATGGGTTGCCTGGATCACTAAACCTCAAACAATCCTCAGTAAGAAATGAAAAAACAAGTACTGAGATTTTCTGTCTTATTTCCTTATTAGCTAGAAAGTAGATACATACACAAATAATAGATGAAAAATTAATACTTAGGTGAATTGATAGGAAGAAGAATGAGGGAGAAAGAGAAAGAATGAAAGGGTGAGAGACAGATAGATAATGATTTAGTACTAGTCAAAAGAAAAACATAATCTTGAATTGATTTTAAATCATTCCTACCAATCTTCCCTGGTGAGATTCTATTTCTTTTACTTCATCTATGTACTGCAAAAATAAGAATGCAGAATATAACTGCCAGATAATCTGAACAAAAATATGGGTAACTCATTTTGATTCTAGAGTGCTACTGTTACCACCTGGGAATCAGAAAGTCACAGACCAACTAGTACTATTCTCCCTCCTGTGTCCTAGACCTGAGCCTTTGGTCCCCAGACTGTCCCAGTCCAAATATCAGTCTTTACCTCTAAGAAAGACCACTGGCCACTAAAATTAACTAGTCTGGATAAGGCATGAACATGTGGCCTAACTGTGCCAGTTCCATCCCTTACTAATGTCTTTCTCTTATTTTTTTTTATTTTCTCTTGAAAGGTTTTTTTTATTGGTTGTTCAAAACAAAGCTCTTGACATATCATATTTGATACATTAGATTCAAAAATGGGTTATGAACTCCCATTTTTACCCCAATTACAGATTGCAGAATCACATCGGTTACACATCCACATTTTTACATGATGCCATATTAGTGACTATTCTGCTACCTTTCCTATCCTCTACTGTCCCCTCTCCCCTCCCCTCCCATCTTCTCTCTCTACCCCATCTACTACAATTCATTTCTCTCCTTGTTTTTCCCCATTACCCCCACAACCTCTTATATGTAATTTTGTGTAACAATGAGGGTCTCCTTCCATTTCCATGCAATTTCCCTTTTTTCTCCCTTTCCCTCCCACCTCATGTCTTTGTTTAATGTTAGTCTTTTCCTCCTGCTCTTCCTCCCTGCTCTGTTCTTAGTTGCTCTCATTATATCAAAGAAGACATTTGGCATTTGTTTTTTAGGGATTGGCTAGCTTCACTTAGCATAATCTGCTCTAATGCCATCCATTTCCCTGCAAATTCCATGATTTTGTCATTTTTTAGTGCTGCATAATACTCCATTGTGTATAAATGCCACATTTTTTTTATCCATTCATCTATTGAAGGGCATCTGGGTTGGTTCCAGAGTCTAGCTATTGTGAATTGTGCTGCTATGAACATCTATGTGGCAGTATCCCTGTAGTACGCTCTTTTAAGGTCTTCAGAGAATAGTCCGAGAAGGGGAATAGCTGGGTCAAATGGTGGTTCCACTCCCAGCTTTCCCAGGAATCTCCATACTGCTTTCCAAATTGGCCGCACCAATTTGCAGTCCCACCAGCAATGTATAAGAGTACCCTTTTCCCCACATCCTCGCCAGCACTTGTTGTTGTTAGACTTCAAAATGGCTGCCAATCTTACTGGAGTGAGATGGTATCTTAGGGTGGTTTTGATTTGCATTTCTCTGACTGCTAGAGATGGTGAGCATTTTTTCATGTACTTGTTGATTGATTGCATGTCCTCCTCTGAGAAGTGTCTGTTCAGGTCTTTGGCCCATTTGTAGATTGGGTTGTTTTCTTATTGTTTAACTTTTTGTGTTCTTTGTATACTCTGGATACTAGGGCTCTATCTGAAGTGTTAGGAGTAAAAATTTGTTCCCAGGATGTAGGCTCCCTATTTACCTCTCTTATTTTTTCTCTTGCTGAGAAAAAAACTTTTTAGTTTGAGTAAGTCCCATTTGTTGATTCTAGTTATTAACTCTTGTGCTATGGGTGTCCTATTAAGGAATCTGGAGCCCGACCCAACAATATGTAGACTGGAGCCAACTTTTTATTCTATCAGGTGCAGAGTCTCTGATTTGATATCAAGCTCTTTGATCCATTTTGAGTTAACTTTTGTGCATGGCAAGAGAAAGGGATTCAGTTTCATTTTGTTGCATACGGATTTCCAATTTTCCCGGCACCATTTGTTGAAGATACTGTCCTTCCTCCATTGCATGCTTTTAGCCCCTTTATCAAATATAAGAAAGTTGTAATTTTGTGGATTGGTCTCTGTGTCCTCTATTCTGTACCATTGGTCCACCCGCCTGTTTAGGTACCAGTACCATGCTGCTTTTGTTACTATTGCTCTGTAGTATAGTTCAAAATCTGGTATCGCTATACCGCCTGATTCACACTTCCTGCTTAGAATTGCTTTTGCTATTCTGGGTCTTTTGTTTTTCCATATTAATTTCATGATTGATTTATCTATTTCTACAAGAAATGCCCTTGGGATTTTGAGTGGCATTGCATTAAACCTATAGAGAACTTTGGGTAATATCACCATTTTGATGATGTTAGTTCTTCCTATCCATGAACAGGGTATATCTTTCCATCTTCTAAGGTCTTCTTCTATTTCTCTCTTTAGGGTTCTGTAGTTTTCATTGTATAAGTCTTCCACCTCTTTTGTTAGGTTGATTCCCAAGTATTTAACTTTTTTGAGGATATTGTGAATGGGGTGGTTGTCCTTATTTCCATTTCAGAAGATTTGTCACTGATATACAGGAATGCCTTTGATTTATGTGTGTTGATTTTATATCCTGCCACTTTGCTGAATTCATTTATTAACTCTAGTAGTTTCTTTGCAGACCCTTTTGGGTCTGTTAGATATAGTATCATATCATCCACAAATAGTGATAATTTAAGTTCTTCTTTTCCTATTTTTATGTCTTTAATTTCTTTTGTCTCTCTAATTGCTCTGGCTAGTATTTCAAGAACTATATTGAATAGAAGTGGTGAGAGAGGGCATCCCTGTCTTGTTCCAGATTTTAGAGGAAATGCCTTTAATTTTTCTCCATTCAGAATAATGCTAGCCTGAGGCTTAGCATATACAGCTTTTAGGATGTTGAGGTAAGATCCTGTTATCCCTAGTTTTTCTAGTATTTTGAACATAAAGGGATGTCGAGATAATCATGTGGTTCTTATCTTTAAGTCTATTGATGTGGTGAATAACATTTATTGATTTCCATATATTGAACCAGCCTTGCATCCCAGGGATGAATCCTACTTGATCATGGTGCACTTGTTTTTGATATGTTTTTGTATTCGATTCGCCAGGATTTTATTGAGGATTTTTGCATCTATGTTCATTAGAGATATTGGTCTGTAGTTTTCTTTCTTTGAAGTGTCTTTGTCTGGTTTCGGGATCAGGGTGATGTTGGCCTCATAGAATGAATTGAGTCAGGAAGATACACACAATTTAAACAGAACAATAACAAAGGAGGAAATAGAAGAAGCCATCAAAAGACTACCAACCAAGAAAAGCCCTGGACCGGATGGATATACAGCAGAGTTTTACAAAACCTTCAAAGAAGAATTAATACCAATACTTTTCAAGTTATTTCAAGAAATAGAAAAAGAAGGAGATCTTCCAAATGTCTTTCTCTTATACCTCCATCCACTGACTAGGATCCTCCAGTATAGGAAATGTCCCCTAAGCAGAGCCTTCACCCCTGAGATCCTATAGAAGCTAATAGCAAAATTTATAGATACTGTACATTGTTCCCACAATACACTTTTTTTCTGATTAATCCTTGACCTTGAGAGTTTCAAGACATTACAACTTATGCTACCTTGATGACCATGTGCAAACCATACTCTATGGCCCCTTGATCCTTGGTAGGTATCCTTGGAACTACTTTCTTTGACTTCTCAGTACTTTTATCAATATTCATAAGCTTCACATGTTCTACTATAATTTCTGTCCAGAAAGAATAATCATTGCTGAAGAGTGGATAAAGAAGTACCAGAAAAATATTGGTTCTTCCGAAGAGGCCAGATACCACCCTGAGAGCCCTGCTCAAAAGTATTAGAGAGCAACTGATGACAAAGCAGACAGGCTGCATCAGTTCCCTTGGTACACTTCTTGGCCGGAACATCTGTCTGAAGTCATCATGGACCAGTGTGGAACCATGTTCTCTTTCAACCAACAAATACTTAGTAAAGCTAGAAAGAAACCTGGGTCAAGCAGCATGGGACAACTTCATTGCAATCAAAAACCTGTTCCCAAGAGTAAATTTTTAATCAATACTGGAACCTGAGAAGTAAAAGTGAAGCTGGGAGACCCAATCACTAAAGACAAAGGTTAGAGATACTAGTTAAAAGGAATACTCAAGGCAACAACAATAAGATACAGACAAATTCTAAGAAAAGATTGGTCTTCCTTGAAAGTTTCATACATTGGAAACTCAATAGGCCTATGAAATCAGGTGGCTTTGAATTTTAAATAACCGTCAGTCTCCTAAAACCATGGACAAGTAATTTCACTTCTTTGTCAATTAAGTGCCATAGATAATAATACCTACCTCCCAATTAGACATTAAACAAAACTGCATTTAAAGTAATTCACACAAAGCCTGACACACAGCACACCTTTCCTAGGAGCTTATCCCTTGTTTTGCCAAAGTCTTTGGCAGGGAATGTTCAGGATAGTGGGTATGGGTTCCATTCCTAACAACCTGGCCTTCACCCAACATCCACAAAGGGCTCTTTACCTCCACTTGACTGTCCCAGTCTAGAGAGCTGTTAACAACAATATCAGGGTAATCAGGCCACACCTGCAGAGAGAAAAATATTTAACAGCAATGCACTAGGCAATTTACCTAAGTAGGATTCCTAAGACTGTCAACCACAGTCCTAGAGGGTAATAATATTTTTGATTATCATGTAGGGTTTATCAATATAAAAGTGAAATCCACAAAGTCCTCAATATATCAATAAATACTAATTAAGAAATAGAAACTAATGACTTCAGTATCCACAAGAAAAGGGTAAAACACACACAAACACACAAACTATGGCCCTCTCCCATGATGGAGACTAGTAGTCACCACTTAGATCATACCTTTCCCCAGACAATGCCTCCACCATTTGGATATTTGATGAAGACATCATCCTCCACTCCCCGAGTGAAGGCAGGATAGGGCTGTGTCTCATTGCCAGAAATGGCTGGGTCCTGCAAGCAAAGCACAAGTCAGTCGGCAAAACAAAGAGAGAGATTGACAAGGGACACAGAAAAAGAACTTCTTCATTGGGAGGTCCCTAGCTTCCACCTGCCTCTAGAGTTTCTGGGAATCTCTGGAAATATACTCTTCTTATTGTACTTGGAGTTCTCTGTTCTTCATATGGATAGAGGGACAAGAAAAGTGGTTCTCCACAAAGCCCAGTCCTCCTCCCAACACACTCCATCCACACAGGCACAAAACGACTCACCAGGATGAGGATGACCCGCATCCCATCAGCCCTCATGCGATTGATCAGGGCTGGAAACCCAGCAAACTTGGGGCTGAGGGTAAAGTCCAGCTGCCGCTCCATGTAGTCAATGTCTGAGTACTGCACATCCTGGGGGAGGATACAAGGAAACAGTGGCTGCTGGTGCTGAAAGTCCAGCTCCCAGAGGAGAAACACTCTCCCCTGCTGATGGTGAATTGAAATGGCTTCCTGTTGACTCTTGCCAATCCTAGCTCTTTCAGTATGGAAACTAGAAAATTCATCTAATTTTTCAAACTTTTACTCAAAATAGAGATATAATATAAATCAGTAAAAATAGGATGATAGAACCTCTATTTAATGGCTATTGTGAGAACATGTAAAATCATTAGTAGGGAAATTACTTTGTTAATGGCCATCATAAGAATTGATTGCATTTACCTTCCCCAGTGTTGCCCCTGATAAAAAACAGTTCATATTCAGAAGAAGAAAAGTTAGCTACTCAGTTGTAATACAATCTGAATGGTTAGCTGGCTACAAAATAAGAAAAAGAAAAAATAAAAACAAATCTCATAATTACTGTAGGCATTCAATCCCAGAGGTAATTAGAAATAGTTGTCTTATAAGAATATGGTACATTGCATGATGTATTTCCCATTAATGGAACAATTGCAAATAATTGAACAATGAGTAGAATAAAATTCAATTTGAAACTGCTCTGCAGGATCAGTTATAATTATTCAATACTGCTTCTCCTCAAATAAATGATAAGAGTTTATTACCATGTATATTTCCTTTGAAAACATATATAGAAGTCCTATATTCAGCCAGGGAGTAGCTCAGGGCTGATAAAATAATGTTTGCAGTACAAAAATATTGGAATTCATGAATACATAATCATTGAATTTGGGCTACTTTTTTTTAAAAAAAATAACCACTATTATTCTTGAGGGAATGTTCATCTCATGGTACCAAGGACTTTTTAGACCAAATGTCTAAAAATCAATAAAATAAATGGAAGAAATCATAGTATAGTAGAAAGGTTCTGGACCCTGCCCTATCTTCTCATTCTGAGTCACTGAGTCTACAATGCTATAATATGGGAGCAAGGCCCCACCTGAATTACTGTCAGGATGGAACTCAATGTGTCATCATGTCAGAAAAAAACTTTTTTGCTTTTGCTGAACCTCAAAAAAACCCCAAAAATAAGTCCAGACACAGAGAAGCCTGAGTTGGCTATGAGCTCATAGAGCCAGTGCACCAATACTGAGACATACATAGGGGAACTGGGCAGCCACCATCTCATCATACAAGCTGGAAATCTCAGAATCATTCTCATATCCATAGCGACACAGCTGGAACCCCAGGGACCAGTACGGTACCATCACAGGCCGGCCAATCACCTAGAACATGGACAGAAATATTATTCCTTACAGGAATGACTCAAATGAAGTTGTACAACAAATAATAAGAATATTTTTCTAGTGCCCCAAGATAGACAATCAACATATTCAAATCCAGAGAACTCAGCAGATATAAAATTACTAGGATACCTTGAGAAAGCTTCATTCTAGACTAAAGTTCATTCTCTTGGAATTCTGTACAGTCTAAATTTACTCTCATTCCGAGAGGTGGTCTAGGTTATTGCTGAAGAGAACAGATCCCAGAGGGAAAGTGCCTGGTTAACACACAGGCTCATGTCCTCCTGGTTCTGTGACCTTGAACAAAATTAAGTAATCTCTTCATGTTTCAATTCTTCACTGGTAAATTAAACATAATTGTAATGTCTGCCCCATGCTGTTTTGATGAGGACTTAATGACTTAATACATGTAAATACTCTAAAATGCAGTAAGAGTTTGATAAGTGACAGAATTTGTTTTTATTATCACAAAAATGACTACTGTCTTCAACAGTCCCAAATATTACCTCCATTACCACCATATCAGTCCCGCATCTTCACTATCATAACCCCATCACCATCACCCACACAATCCCCAGAATTTTCACCCCATCATCTTCCCTGTCACCACACAATCACCATCATCAACATACCCAACATGCTCATAACTACCATCCCCACCACTTTAACCAACAGCAGATGACCATTACCATTCTTAACATCTCTATCACCACCACTCGTACCTCGAATACTCCCACCATTACCCTTACCATCATTAGTACCTTAAGCACCACTACTACAATCCTCACACATATGGTCATTTTTCCACCATAAACATTCCACAACCACTCTTACCAATACCACTACCATAACTATCAGCACTAGGATCTTATCCTCTCCATCACCACTTCACACCACTAGGCTCAGCATTACTTCAGGTGCAGTGTCTACTTTACCTAATGTGGAATAATTAGGCTCTAATTTAATGATTATTGGAAGGTACTTATACCTTCTTATTATATAATATGCCTGGTTCTAAGAAAAACCTTCAATTCTACTTGTCAGAGTGAGTTTTAATAATGAATGAGTATTTGGGAACATGGAATGTGCCATATAAATGCTTGATAATCAGTTGAATTTCAACCTACCTCTGTGTACTGTTGAGTGACAAGTTCTGGAGTTGGCCCCAAGAACACATAAAAATCCAGAATTCCCCCTGTGGTACGGTATGTCAGAGCAGGTGTGGGCTGGAAAGTCACATCTGAAAAGATAGGAAAGTGACAAATGAAAACTAAGCTAGAAACCTACAAGACAAGGAACAATCTGTGAATCCCTAACTTCATTCTCTTGCACTCTAATCTATTAACAGCACCCATTCTGTACTGCACCCAAATGAAATTAAACAGTTCAGTGAAAGTCTACAGAGTCCCAGCCCAGGAAGTTTTCCCTTTGGTATACCTCATTGTCTCATTGTATTTATCATTATGTTATTTTAAAACTATTGATGTAACTTCTACTTCAGAATAGTTTAATAGACACATGGAGTGGCAAAAAGACTATTCAAAAGGTCTGTGTGCACCTCACCCAGCATCCACCAATGATAACATCTCCTTAAGCCTTGGATGTAGTCAAACAAAGGAAAATGACATGATATAATATTATTAACTGCAGTATGGAACTTTTTCAGAGTACACCAGTCTTAATGTAGACATTTTTATCCCCAGGCCCTGAATTTTCAACCCTATCTTATATACAGATTAAATTTATATCTTCATACTTAAAGATGTGAGTGCTGTGACTTAATTCAACATGGATACCATCTATGCAGATACTTCCAACTTAATAACCTCTAGGACACCTGGGACTAACTTGGACTTCCTATCCTTCATATGGAATTTCTGCCAAAATAGAATTGTATTAAATCTTGTTATCTCATGCTACAAGGCTGAAGTCAACAGAATGGAAAGAAGAAAAACAGCCACTATCCTCTAAATAATTTTGACATTGGAAAGCTGCTAGGTCAAGGACATTCTAGAGTTTCACAGGATGACTGACTGGGAGACAACAATAGAAGGAGCGCTGGCATCATCCTACCCATGGCATTGCTGTTCAGCAGGAGAACTCCATGGGCACTGCCGTCCTCCTCTAGTCCCATGTAGTAGGGGTGGACGCCATAGGAATTCTTCTTGTACTGAGAGTCACAGGGGAGATATGGAAGAAGGTTAGAAGTCATTGTACATGAGAAAGAATCCTAGAAAAACTTGTTTACTGAGATGGATTTGGTCTTCCATCTAAAAGGAGTAAAACATATAAAAAGCACAAATAAAAACTAGCCTATAGTCTAAGAGCAGAAAAAGAAAATCCGAGTCTGGGATCATGTAGCACAAGGTGACCATGATGTATGTGGGAGGAAAGAGGCAGAGAGGCACATATCCACAGGGCTCCTTGCTTACCCCGGGGGGTTCATCTCTGGAAAACATGCCCCACGTGTGCCAGTTCAAGTCTCTCCTGAAGGCTGTGTGCTCATTTTCCCCAAAGCCATAGATGTACTTGGAGGGCAGGCGGGTGGAGATGCGGAGGAACATGTCATTGAAGGTGAAGCCAAGGAGCTGAGAGTCCCAACTGCAACACACACACAAAAGGGTACATTCAGAAAAGAAAATCACCTTGCCTATTGCCTTCCAAATGCTGACTTTTTAAGGACAACAGAAGCTTTGATTCTCACCACAACCCAGAACCCAACATCTCCCAAACACACCACAAAGTCTTTTTGATGACAATAATCACAGATATCCCCGCTATGAACTTGGGAGTTTTCCTTCATATTCTATTTCTCAATTACATGGCCTGTTTTCAGTGTTCCCTTCACAAAACCAAATTCAATCCATCTCACCATCTCAGCTGCTAACACTCCACACAAGTCTTCCTTCAGCTCTTTCCCTTGAATAGTCCATTCCCTAAAGCTTTCCAGACGGATATGTTTAAGTATCTCTCGTCATGTCACTCCCTGATGACCCTCTTCCATGGCTTCTCATGGACACACCTCATGAAGCCTTCCAGGCTGCACCTGATCTAAGCCTTCCTGACACCCCAGCTTCATCTCCCACCACTCACCTCCTTGCTCGCTTCCTTGAATTTGTCTCATTCCTTGACATGCCAAGTTTCATCCTATATCGTGGCCTATGTTCTTGGTCTATCACAAATGTTATTCCCTCCTTGCATGGCTTTATGTTGGGGTTTCCTACTCTCCATCCAGAATCAGTTTCAAAAGTTAACCCTTCAATTGAGACCTGCTCTCTCCAGAGTATCAAAAGCAGTAACCTTACCATAACTCTTGATTACCTGCTCATTTACTTAGAGTAATTATCACTATCAACTTCCTTTAATATAGTTATGTAAATTATTGTGGCAGTGGTAAGATCAGAGGAATTATCCATCTATGAACATAGTTTCTAAAACAATACCTAATAGAGTGAAATAACCCATAAACATTGAATGGATGAATGCCCAGGAACAAGGAACAGACTCAGCCATCATCCCAATTGCCAAACACTTCCCATAAGAACAGGGCTGAAGGGGTTTGGGGTCCTGGCTGAGGAGTAGAGAACTTGCCTAGCACATGCGAGGCCCTGGGTTTGATCCTCAGCACCACACAACAATACATTAAAGAAAGGTACTGTGTTCAACTACTTCTAAAAAATAAAATAAAAAAAACCCTAACTTTAAAAAAGAAAAAGGAGGAGGAGGAGGAAGAGAACAACAACAACAACAACAGATATGAAGGAAAGTGTTTACTCATGGATCTGGAAATGGCAGAAAGAGGCCTGAGCCAGGTATCAATCTGGACAATAGTCCAGACAAAAAAATGTACAGTTACATGGAAATTCCAAGTTAGAAATGAGCCACGTACATTACAGTGCCTGTACTCTTACGGCGAATTTCTATTCCAAATGGATTCTCCTTAATGAGGACATCATAGAGTCGACTCTCCACGGTGCTGGATGGAGTACTGGTTATGTTCAAGGGGACTGGGACTTCATAACGACTCTTGTTGGGGTCATAAATCTAGAGCAGAAGAAACTGACTTTAAGTAAGAATACAGATACAGGGAATGAGTTCTGGGTTTCTATTAGCACAGAAGAAAGGATGTTTAAATTACTCATCACTAAGAAATAAGAGATGCTTGCTACATAGATAACCTGATTATTCTCAATCAATCAAACCATAGTGAATTTTATCAAACATCACAACATACACATCATGTAAATGGACAATCATTATCTGTCAAAAACAATTTAGGTACAGATATTATCCAAATATACACCCTTATAAGAATGTTAACATCATTGACAATGAGTCTAAATGCTATATATTTGCATTCTTTTAAGATCATGATATGTGGATTTAAGTGATACATCAAAGAACAACATCAGATTTAACATTTTGATCTGAATCCATCATATTTCACTATTAAGGCTTCTATTACAGTATCAAATTCACTTGACCCTTTGTGCTAACTTGCAACTTCATTGTGAAATGAGTGTGGTTTATGAATGTATCCTTTATTATTTTGTGTTAGAACAGTAACATATACGAATCCCTAAAATTCTTCAGTATTGAAAACTGTTTTCTCAAAATATGAACTTGGATTAAAATAATCATAGACTTGCAAAAATAATAGATTAAATATTCTATGAGTACCTCACAAACGCACACATAATATTACAGAGGTAACTGAGCATATGAACTTAATTATACAAGGCTATTGTTTTCAGAATTTCTCTTGCTAATGGAAAGTTAAAGAGAAGGATTCATGACACTTTGGCAATGTGAGTAAATGTACAACTCTAGAAATTCTGAGAGTACAGGCAAGGAGATGCCTAACAATGTTTCTGGGACATTGAGATGGTTCCATGGGAGAATTAAAGCCTGAATCATAAGAACTTTGAAGCTATAAGCAAGCACAAGAAATGAGATCAATCATTCTTGTAAAGCAACAGCAAACAAAAGGTACAGAGTATTAAAGGCATCTCAGAAAGATGCAAGTGTTTCGGAGAGAGAAACTGTATGGAAAGTGGTGGACGAGCTGAAAGCAAGTTCTTCAATTTTGAGCTTTTATGGGCCTACCACTAAACATCAATGCTATAGTGAGGACACTAAAAACAAGAACAAATACAGAAAATAACAACAAAGAAAACAGACATCATTCCTTACATTAGGACATGTTACAATTCTGAGAGTCCAAGTTGATGTCGCACATGTGAACAAGTACTATCCATGAGCCTCTGTGTTAGGTTTCAGAAGCACAAAGAGGAAAGACACATTCTGGCCACAGAAAAGCTGACAGTTTTAAGAGGGAAACAGACGCACAAACAGCTAGTCCACACGTAGGCTTTAGATGTAATTAAACAATATAAGGAAAAGAAATTATTACACTTCAATGGATATTTAAGAGACACATCAATTTCAGTGTCCAAAACCAAACTCTTACATTGTCCACATACAAACCTTTTCAGTACTCCTCATTTCGGGTAACATCACCTTTGTCAACACAGACATGACAAAAATATGGTACTCATTTTTCAAGTCTCCCTCTCCCTTATCTACATTTACCATAAAGTCACCAGATAATGTAACCCCCCTTTCTTTTTGTTTTTCTATGTGACATCGAAACGCATTACAGTTCTTATTACACATACAGAGCACAATTTTTCATACCTCTGGTTGTATACAAAGTATATTCACACCAATTCATGTCTTCATACATGTTCTTTGGATAATAAATATCATCACGTTTCACCATCATTTCTAACCCCATACACCCTTGCTTCCCCTCCAACCCCTCTGCCCTATCTTGAGTTTGTCTATTCCTCCCATGCTCCCTCTCCCCATACCACTATGAATCAGACTCTTTATATCAAAGAAAACATTCAACATTTGTAAACCCCCCCTTCATAGTTTAAAATGTTGACTTTTTCCCCATCTATTTTCCTGTACTCATCCAATCTCAAACCCCATATTTGAGAACACATATTTGAGAACATCTTAATTTGTCTCTCTCTGTTTTGTTCTCCAAAAACCTCCTTAGAGTAGCCAGAAAACATCTTCAATTTGCAAATTAGAACAGCTCTCACTGGCAATGAATTCTCACTATGCTTTGAAATAGGATAGTAATCTAGTGCCCTATAAATTGAACCTTAAAAGAATTTCACATTTTAGAGTTCTATAACCTAACTTGAAAACATAATGTCACTAAAAAGGGCCCACTCAGTACCTGATACAAGTACCATGTTTACCTTAAATTGCAGCATTTCATCCTTATGGTAGGTCACCTGCAGGTGGAGGGGATTCACAGGTGTGGAGGGGAAGGTGTTGGCATAAACAGAAGGCTTTAAGGAGATGTCAGCCGTGGCCCCATGGGAGTTGTACTGGACATTGCTCACAGAGTACAGATCATTGACAAAATAACAATGAGGGACTCCAACAGAACTGGATTCCTGGAAAGGAAAGTTGAGATTGTAGATCAACAGGTGGTCCTAGAGTTGTCAAATAGAAATAATCAGAGAAGGCAATCTGTATGGAGATAAAGCCAACACAGCACTCATTCATGTACATATAATTACATAGTGATAAAAAGTAAATTTCTAGACAAGAGCAAAATAATTATTAAAAAAAAAAACATGATCCCAATCCACATCTAATCTTCCTATACAGACCAGGTTCCTTGGAAGCCCTGTTTCTATGGAATTGAAGTAGGCACCTGGGTACTAGGGCTATGCTCAAGAAATTGCCGCCTAAGATTAAAGATCTGGGCGTCCATCAACACCTCAGTGAGGTTACCTCCCAGGCACAGCCTCGGGCAATGCAGTTTGCTTCAGAAGCACCATGCTCATCAGGGTAGCAGTCTATTTTTTCTTCATCTCTGATGATTATGTTCCACTCCACTGTGTATTCCTCTCCCAGCACAAGACTGATCTCTGTGATGATGGCAACCTGAAGGAGTGGAAAACACACAAAGAAATATCCTCAGAACAAAGGCCTGGCAAGTTCTGAATAGTTTTATCAACACATGTAGGCATCAGACCAGACTCTCAACAATAGTAGTAAGATTTGAAGGTAGTTCCTGTATAGTGGGCTATATACATGGAAGAGGGAATGTTCACTAGCAACATGGCAAATGACATTACCTTATTAAAATCTTGTGCATTATGTTGTGAACAGAATGAGATCAAATGAAACCTTCGGTGATCACCCCTTTCCTTTCCTTCCCCTTCAAGGAAGACATCATTAGTTGCTTCCTCTTTGCTCTTTCTCAAATTTTAGTAAACAAAATTCCCTAAAAATAGCTCAATTTTTGACAACATAGCACAGCTATGACCGTGAAAAAGTGAGAACTAGTTCCCGGGGACTTTCTGCCCAGGTATTTATTTCTAGATTTAAGGGTATTTTCTAACCCTATACCTCTCCCTACACACTCTTTCCTATCTCTCTTCCTGTATTTTCCCACAACCAGTAACTTGTTGACAAAATCTAAGCAGCTACTTCCTATCACAAGAGAAGAAAAGACCTTATTCTCAACAATATTGAGCCATTGAACCATGCCAGCCTGTAAACTACTATGTCTATTACTAGTATCTACTTCTATACAACTACTTGCAGAAAGAAAAAAAAAAGTCCAGCTTGTTACAATTTGGGGTTTCCTTTCCCTTGTAGCTGATGAATCCAGACCTGACATGCCACATTCTAGGCCCAGCACCAGACCTGTTGTCTGAACAAAGATCAGCTCAACTGCTCCAATTTAAACATCAATTAAAACATGAGTGAACATTTCCTATATGTTGTTTTGGCCCTGAGTGTCTTCTCAATTGTTCATGTGTACAAATCATGACACCTCACTACCCACATTCAAACACTAAAGGAGTTCCTAAGGTCTTATTAATTAACTTATTAATCAAATATGAATTGTGTCTGTTTTCCCACATGAATCCTTCATATACCTTGCACTTTGCCATATACATAACCAGCCATACAGAAATTTATTCCTAACTTCAAAATATGTGTATTCTCACATTGTGTTATCAGAACAAAATGTCAATTGTCATGATAGAAGAAGTCTAAACTCACTTATTTTCCCCAAATTTGGACCATCCCTCATGAACCATGTTAACCCAGAAGCTACAATGCCAGGAGTAAGTGCAGTACCATGGTCAGGATTATTGGGAGAAAGGAATTTTCATTAGACTCAGCATCAGAGTGAATGATTATAGGCTACTCAGGATGGCCATGTCTCCTCACAATCATTGAGAAATTATTCATTATTATTATCTAACCAAACAGGTACCCATCAATTGGAATCACCAATTCTTAGTCCTAAACTGTTTATTTAGAATATATGTGTTGGAGATAACTTCTACTCATCTCTTTAAAGTTTTCAAAAAGTGGGAACTTCAGTATTTGAATTCATGGGACTCCTTCCTCCCAACTTTACCTTTCAGCATCAGCCATCAGCTTCCAGATCCCTGTTCTTCTTACCTGTTCCACACTTTCCTAACTCTGCTCTCTTATGTATCCTGTAACTAAAATGTTGAAAGTGAAGCCAGTGAGACAGAGGAGAGCTCTGAGAGGCAGGACCTCCCTGTCTTACTAGCTCTGCCCATCACCTCTTCACCACTTCCATTCCCAGGCCCCTGACTTCCCCACCACAGGCATCCACACAACCTCAGGAAGCAGGAAAACCAAGGTGCTATGAATAATTCTGGAAAAACAACCTCAATACATGGATTTTTACCTTCAGCTGAGCATCATATGTGACCTTGGGAGCAGTCTGACTCAGGACACCATTGTGTTTCACTGTAACGTTGCTGGGTTCCTGTGTCCCAAAGATTTTAATCTGCTGAAATGCTAAATTATTGGGGTCCTTGTAGGTTGCTTGTGAAATCTTCACGTCCAGGCGGTTCTGAAAGTCAAAATAGCACAATGAAGCCCAAAGCTGTGCCTCTAAAACACAGATTCTCCAGCCACTCAAATGCTCCATCCTAGCCAGAAGCTCCCCACTGCTCTGAATACCTCTTAGCTGTCCCAACTAACAAATGCTGCGTGTATAAACTTACTTTCATATTACTCTGAGAAAACAAAACAATCAGGAACAGACACACACACTCATTTTAGAAATTCACATTGAGTTTTTTTTAAAAAAGCACACTGACAAACTGCTTTGATTCATAAATATTATTGCCTTCTTTTGATAAGATGGATGATACATTATTGGGACTGAAGTCTTATATGGCATTGTGTTGTTTACCTGTAGCCATTATTGTTATCATTTACTTATTTTTATGAAGATAGAATCATAATTACACACACACACAAGCACATATGAGCCTATGGTAGACAAAATCTCATACCTAAGATTTATAAAAATGTGCTACTCACTTGGGTGGCAGAAAACTCACAGAAAAGGTAAACTTTATTGGCCACAGTATCTGAAAGCAGAAGAAAGACATGTCAGAATGGCCTGCCCACCACACAAGAACAATTTCATCTACCTCTCCTTAAAGCTCATTCTGCAAACCCAGGGAGCAGTATTTCCTTCCTTTCATGATGGAGTACTATCCCACGATATATATACACCACGACTTCTTATTCATTCATCTACATGTGATCACAGGTGTTTCTATATCTTAGCTCTTATGAATAATGATGCAATTAACATGGGGGTGCACACATCTATTTGATATGCTGATTTCATTTTATTAGATATATTCTTAGAAGTTGGATTGCTGGATCATAGGATAGTTCTATTTTCAATACTTTGCGGAACTTCTATATTGCATCTCAAAATTCCTGTACCAGTTTGTACCTTAAACAGTTTTGTTCCACTTTCTCCTCATGATCATCCACACTTGCTATGTCCTCTTTTTCACATAAGCTTCCTAACAGGTATGAAAGATATCTCAATGTAATTTCTCTGCTGCTAGTGAATTTAAGGACCTTTTCATATACGTCTTAGTCAATTTTATGTTTTCTTTGGAAAAAATTTCTACTCAAATCCTTTGTCCAATTTTAAAATCTGGTTATTTATTCACTTGCTATTGAAACACAATTTTCCTGATGTATTTTTTGTGTTAAGACACTTAACAGATATGTGGTTTGCACATATTTCCCCATCTGTGGGCTCCCTTTTCCTTCTGTTGATTGTCAAGTTGAGCAGAAGCTTTCTGACTTGATGTAGTCCCACTGGTTTAATTTTTTACTTTTCTCATCTATATTTTTGGTGTCAACTCCAATTAAATACTTCCAAGACCACTGTATAAAAACCTATTCCCTATTTTTTTCCAAGGAATTATTGCTTTAGCCCTTAACTTTAAGTTTTTAATATATTTTTCACAATAACTGAAATATAGAAATAACCAAATGGTCAACCTACAGATCAATGGAGAACAAGTTGTGGTAATACATAAAAGGAATATTATTTAGCCTTAAAAATAAGAAAATCCTGTCATTTCTGATAATATGGGTGAAGCAGGAGTACTCCATAGTAAGAGACACAAGTTACACAAAGCAAAGAGAGAAAATACTATATGATCTCATTTACATGTATAATCTACAAAAGTTGAATTTGTTCAAGCAGAGACTAGAACAGAGGTTGAAAAGTGGGGATAGAAAGCACTTGTAATATGTTGGTTCAAATGTACAAACATTCAACTACAAGAAGACAAGTTCTGGTGAGCTAATATACAGATGGCTGTGATAGATGTTAACTTATTTGACTGGTAATCATTATAAACAGTACCTGAGTATATGGTTTACATTGAAGATTTTCCATCTTTCCATATCAGTGAAACATTCAAATAAAATAAATTGGATAATATTTAAAAAGCTACACCTTGACATTGAGGAAATTATAAATAGAGTCTCCAAAGAAGCTATGAATCTTCTCTCTCTTTCCAACAGTAACCTTGAGGAGATTCCCTTCCAAGAGTGTTTAGGAATATGCATTAAGGGCATCTATTTCCTAATATAGGACCCCAAGAATGTTACTAACTGGTGCCAGAAACATGAGGTAAAACATAGATAGATGCAGATACACTCCAAAAGTACATTCTCCTGGCCTTCCTGATATGTCCTTGACATTTGTTGCTAAGTATTTTGGGGGAAGACATTTTCATTACAGATGAATTATTGGAAAATTCTTGACCATATGTCATCCAGGTGTCCATAGAATAATAAAACGAGAGCCTATTATAGATCACTGACCAATGGCACACTGCTGAGAAACAGAAACCTGTTGTCCTCACATTGGTGGTTATTTGATACATCTCAAGTAGCACAATCAGAAACAAACTCTTCTCTCTAGTGACTTTTGCTACTGTGACTGGGATATTTCTCTTCCAGCTGCATGACCAGCAAGAGTGAGGGGCCATAACACACAGACGTAGGAGGGCAAGCAATACTCTCTCATAACAGACTCACCTATCGATGCCCCATCATCCCAGAAAAGTTCTCCAGATGCTTTATTGTTCTCATCCAGGGCAATGATGAGACCAAGGGGGTTCTGCCGACTGTGGGAAACAGGAGTTACATAACACAGAAAGGTCAGTGATAGATCCAGCCTGATTCCCTCTTTAAATTGGGAGCTATCTCACCACAAAGATGTAAAAGCTAATTTTGGCTTTACTGTAAATTACTACAAATTCTGAACCAGCTTGGAATGCCTGCCCGTGCCATGAACTCACCGATGCCTGGCTCTCTCTGACCAGGTAACAACCCTCTCTGAAACTTTAGTGATGCCTCATAAATCTTGGCCTTCCCTGGCCAGATAACAACCATCTCTGAGGCTCTAATGACCTTCATAAATTCTGATGTCGGGGCCAGCAAAAATGTAAACTAGCCTTTGTGTTATGCTCTCAGTTTTGTTATCTGTAACCCCCCTTTGTAACTTTCTGGGCTATAAATCTGCGCTGCTGGAAAGCTACACTTCTGTCTTGTTCCCGCAGTTTATGTTGGGAGAGGCAGCCCCCTGCCGGTCGAAATAATAAGCTTGCTTTAATTGGATTTTAATTTGAGTCAGTGGTCTTTCCTTGAGTCCTGGTCTAACAGTCAGGACTGAAAGAATTTTGCCAAATGCTTCCTTCATATTTCAAAGTTACTTGGAAAAGATGGCTCCACTTTCTTCAGGAACAAAGGACAAATTAGAAAGCATTTCTTTTTTCTAGACTAAATAATGTCACATGAGATAGAAATACCCCAACCATTGTCACTAAATGTTTATGTAGGAGGCAATAACTTAAGCATCAGAATCACTGCAATAAGGACAATGAAAGCAATGTATATAATGAAAGCAATGTTTATAATGCAGACTATTGGCAGAGAAGGAAACCTTATACAAATATATGCATCCTATCTAAGGACCAGTTTCAATCAGGAAGCAAAAACACACCAAAAGGCCTATTTACATAATGCCACTTCCCTTACTTGGTAACTTACTATTATTTGTGTTGAGAGAAAAACAAAGCATTCTAATTATCTGCTTTAAAATGTGGAACAGGAGCACAAAACAATGCTCAAATAGATGGTCCAAGTGCTGCAAAGAGAATAGGAAGGTAGGAAGAGCTATTTCATTAGGCATCTCCTCATAGCCTCACGCCTCTGGATTCCCAGCTGATCTCTGGCTCCTGTGCACCCTCCCTGGCCTTAGGTGGCCTACTTCAGCCTCCACTGCACAAGTCAGGCTCTGTGATAACACACTAGCTTGCTGTCACTCTCAGTGCTTGTGTTGATCTGTCGCTGCTAAGAAGTTCAAGACACAAAAATTCAAATAAATCGAAAATCATGATCTATTTCACCTTCATTGTAAGAGAGATCAGACACTATCTCCAAAAAAACAAAGCAGAAAATGAACAGTGACACAAAAGGAAGCACTTCAAAATGATACTTCCAGAACGATGGTGGAATAGACATTCTAGAGTACCTATCCAATGGAATACTACTTGATCCTAGATACTTTGCAAAAGAAGTATAATAAAATATTCTTGGGTTTGAAAGACAATAAGTACACATCTAAGTGAATGAAAAACTAACAGGGGTAAAAAACAATGGACTACATTCACAAGGGTGCTCAGGAAGCCAAACCTGAATTTCCCTGGGGCCAATGCCTAATAGGCCTAACATTGGAACCCTAAAACTGGTAACTTAAGGAAAAGAGGCTGAACCTCCAATTCACAAGTGAAACCAGGATCTTTAAAGGGACCTAACATGATACCAAGTTGGCAGTAGTCCAACTGGCACGTACCCAAAGATAAGGTAATTTGCTTTTGGAGGACACATACATCTATCTGGGTCCTCAAGGTCACCACATATGAAAAACAAAATATCACTGAACACACAAGGTATTAAGTGGGCATTAAAGAGTCTGCAGAAATAACAAAGCATAGATTTACATTCCACTAAGGGCTTCGGCAAGTAAAATTTTTAGATAGAGCATGAAATAACTACCGTTGAAATATTTAACAGTATTTAGGAGAAAAGAGATACCTGTAAAGGTTAGAAGTTAGACAATGTCCAGAAATTCAGAAGGGGCAGCACTCCCTCTGCTGGAAGAGCAGGGAGGATTTTTTGTGTATGAAATCTGAGATTACTTTGGATCTTCAAGAATCCACTAGGGCTGGACATGTATATTTAAAACTATTTCATGAGATTCTGGTACAACTCCCAGAGAAGAACCACTAAATACATAAATTTAATGTATGCATTCCCAGATGTCAAAAACTGAAGACTATAGGAAGAATTAAAATTTGATTTTGTACAACTCCCTTCCAAGCCCTCTTCTCTGATAATGTTAGCATAACTTACATTTGTTTTTCTCCAGCTCTAGGGTTGGGAGGCCAAAATAAAAAGTGCAAGATAACTATACCGGTTGGGTATGGTAGTAATCCTAGAGCCTTGGGAGGCCGAGGCAGGAGGATCTTGAGTTCAAAGCCAGCCTCAGCACAAGTGAGGTGCTAAGCAACTCAGTGAGATCCTGTCTCTAAATAAAATACAAAATAGGGTTGGGGATGTATGAGACTCAGTGCTCAAGTTCCCTGGGTTTAATCCCTGGTACCAAAGAAAGAAAGAAAGAAGAAAAGAAGACAAACCTGTACCACCTAAAACTCTTTTAAAGGATCAGTATTTAAAATCCATTTATTCAAAACATTTTCCTCCAGTGAGTGCGAAAGTTTTCAAATATGGAAAATGGACCCTACATAAGTCACTGTTAAAACTAATATGTTTCAAATATTTCAGAAATAAAATTTGGTGATCTGAATTTTAAAAAAATGCACAAAGGGCTGAGTGTATCAATCAGTGACAAAAATCTTAAGGTACCAAGTTGGAATACCTGGGTCTGTAAAGAGTAATAAGTACAGAAACCCAACCTAAAGCTATAAACTGGGTGAATATGTTTGGGGAAGATTTGAGCCAGGGCTGATATGTACACACACACACATACACACACACACACACACCCCTACATATACATTAAGTTATAGTAGGAAAAACAGTTGTTAAGGTTAACTCGGAAGAAGATTGTGATGGATCTTAAGCACCCTATTAGTCAAAGAGTTCAGACTTCAAGCAGGAAGCAACAAGTTAAGATTGTCATTTGGGAAACATAATTTAGGAGTCAGTGTAGACAATATCCTGAACCTAAACACTTAGAGAAAAAAAAACAACAGCTAGTGTTGGATTAAGGCATATTATTCATAAAATCAACAATTTGAAAATTTAAGGTCATAAAGGAGCTTCAAAGCAAAGATGGGTATCTAAATGTCAAAAAACCCTCCCAGTATATTAAAAAAATAACATTTTCAACTATGTGATGATATAAATGTGAACCTCTTTAATACAGATATATCCTGCACTTTTAAAATAAAAAATTATAAAGGGAAAATGAATGATATGGAATACTTGAGGTTTGTAGGAAAAGGAAGTTTTGGAACCAAGTTTCAATCAAAAAATGAAATGGATTCATGGGAAAAAGAATGGGAAGTTGAGGCTATAGGAAGCTGTACAGAGGATCCCACATCTAGAAAAGAAAGTAAGTGAGGCAAGAACTAAACCTGCACATAGGTGGTCAGGCCAAGGCGAACAGGGTGACCAGCTGACCAGTTAGCTCAGAAGTGTGTTTTTCCAAGAGATGAGGTTTTCAGTGCTATAACTAAGCAACAGCCCTCAGAGGACCAGGGAGGCCAATCTCTTAAGCTACCATGGTGGAAATTCAGAGATTCGGGTGGTTTAAGAATACAAGTACTGTCATGATCTTTCAAATCTATCTGGGTGCAGCCCGAGATCAACATCTTCTTGAGAAAGACCCGAGGGCAATCCAGGCAGAGTGTGATGACCCTATCACCATACACGCATCTCAGCACCTCTGCCCCCACACTCCACATGCTGCTGCCGCAGCCTCTGATCCACTGATGGTTGCAGAATTGGATGATTTGAAATATGTTAAAACACAAATTACCACATGAGCAAGAACAAAAAAGTAAAGCGAGTTTGGTATAAACTGCTTTGTCCTTGAGGGGGATGGTGTTGCCCATCAGAAGTCGTAGTGAACCAGTGTGTAAAGAAGAACACTAGCCCTGTACTCACCTCAAGTGTGTGTTCAGTGCAGGCTCCTGCAAGGGCAGGATGTAGCCCCCACGGACATGAAGGTTAATGTGGTTGAGAGGGGCTTCAAGGTCCTTCCACACTCCCCTGGCATTAGTGTTTGCACCCTGTGGGATGAGGAAACAGAAGATGAGGAAGAGGACACATTCTGCCCTGAACAGTGCATCTGGAAGAAGCCTCCTCTACCCCACTGAACGTGCTACCTGCTCATCAACACTCAGCACCACCTGAGGGTAAACTTCTGCCTTCCCTCAGCTGCTGTGTGAAGTCCTACTGAGCTGCTTTATGTCTAGGAGGGTCCACTGCCTTTCAGCATGGCTACAGCACATCTCACTTGAGGTCCTAGTGTGGATAACAGGCCACCTTCACCCACAACCTCTTTCTGAGACACAAAGCACAGCTACAGGAGGCTGCACAGCCATTCCTTCACCTTTTGTTGGTTCCTCACACACTGTCCACAATTGCATCTCTGCAACTGCTCCTTCACCAAGTGTCTTCTCAGTCGCCATCTGTCCTCAGTCTCCACTCCCACCCACCTAACCAAAAGTTTGGCCTCCAACTTCACAGAAAAGATCAAAGTGAGCTCACATACTTTGTAGTTCCTCTTCTTCTACTCCATACCTGAGTGCTCATGATTGATATCTTTATCCTTCTCATGTGAGAGTGGATCCCTTGTCTGAATCAATCTCTAGAAATCCCAGGGGACCTTACAAATTTCCTCAACTAGAGCAGGGCTGCTCAGTGTTGGCACTACTGACATTTGGGGCCAGATCATTCTTTATTGTGAGGCTTCACTGTGCTCATTGATGTTTAGCAGCATCTTCAAATTCTACCTACCAAACCCTAATAGCCACTTACTTCTACCCCACTGTGACTTTTCAAATGAAGCCACACATTGACAAATGTCCCTCAGAGACAAAAGACTAAGGACGGTTCCATAGAGGTAAGCAGAGTGGATATTGAAAACAAATAAAATGATGTATACATTAAAAGTTTATTTGCAAATAGTTGAAAGCCAGATTTGGCAGGGGGGCAGATTTTACCAATATCTACTGAACAACAAAGAATAGGGTCCAAAACATGTGAACATTAATTAAAGAAGCATTCCTTCATTAATCCCAACCAGGGGAAACTCATTTTTAACAAACATTAAAGTGTTCCTTTTCTCTAAGTATCTTGCTGCATCAAGTTTTATCTTTCCTTTTCATTCCTTGTACCTCTCCTTCTTCAGCAGAAGCTGTATTCTACTGAAAATTTGGGATAAAAGAAGTCATTCTAGAAAAATTGTTTCTTAGTTCTCACATTTGGCTTTCTTTAATGTGGTACACATACTTATTTTAAATGCATTAGTGTTTATAAAAGCAAACATTAGCTCTTCTACATAGTGAGCACCATGGGGAAATATGTCCAGGATGCCAACACCTACAGCTCAGTACAGTGCTTGGCACCTGTGTAAGGCAGGGGCCAGTAGGAGACTTGTGAGATGCCAGAAGTGCAAAATGTAGGAAAGACCTAATACGCCAGGTCACACAGTGCAAGCTCATCCACACAATGGTAGGCCACACTACACTGGGTACCCAGGGTCCTCCCTGGTTTAACCCTACCCCAGGCCCTGCAGCAGAAAGTCCCAACACACTAAAATGACTGTTAGTGAATATCACACTCCACAGAAATTCCCAACACACTAAAACAACTGTTAGTGAATATGAGTGTGACATGCACACTCAGGGCCAAGGCTAAGCTCAACTAAACAAAGTTGGCTGCTCTCTGCCCTGAAACTCCTGGCAGGAAAGCCCATAGCAGAATCCAAACACATTGCCACTCAAAGAAAAGACCCACAGGCAATAAAGAAGGGAAGACAGGAATGAGTGCTCCACAATACATAGAAGAGAGGACTGCACTTCCATTGCCTCACCCTGTTTTCACACAATCCCACTGCAATCCCTAGGATGAGAGGGGCCAGCACATGTGTTGCTCCCCACCTTCCTCCCGCATTTCTAGTCTCCCACATCGTTCTCCTCAGGAAGTCAGAAGAGGAAGCCTGACATCAGTGTGAGGACACTCCTCAGTCTTCTTCAAGAATCTTCTGTTTTCTAAAGGAACCCCCATCATGGAAAACAAATTCAAACACCTTGTTCTTTCATCTGGACTCCAGGACACAGGCCAACCCTACACAACAGCCTTCTTACATCCTTCTTTGGTCAATGCCCGTACACCTACTAGATTTGCAAGTGGAGGCCCAGGTCTGTGGATCCTTTGCACACTGCCTCATAGTCCACTTACTTAGGTAATTAATACAGAGTAATTTTGTTTCAGCATCTATACTGTAGAAGAAGAAATGTGAAAGAAGAGAGAGGGTGGAAGAACTCTCTCTGTATTTAGGGATTTTTCAGTAGGGGAGGATAAAAGTAAAAACTATAGCACAATTTCAAGAACTTACTAGTGTTTCAGAACAGGGAAGAGTGAATGTAGAAGAAAAGGCAATAAATGAAATGAATTCCCACAACAAGCTGAGTGAGAAACTAGATTTGTTGTTTCTCAATGCTCCTGTGAAAGAGTGGACCTGGCCCATGTGGAGGAGAGAAAACTGAGGCTACAAGGTTGTAAGCCACTTGTAAGAGACCATACAGCCAACTTGTTGCCTGAGGTCTATCAGATGTAAAATCTTTGTACCTACATGTTGCAAGTTGAAGAAATATTGAGAAAAACTTACTGTGTAGTAATCATACCAGCGGGCTTCAGGGAAATAGGCATTCACATTTCTGGCATTCTAAAATAAAACACAAACAAGCTGTGAGCATGAGGCACTGTTCTTAAGATCTATTAAGCAATACAGGCAGGAAAGGGATAGCCAGTTTGTGGTGGCCGATACCCATCTGTCTTAGAGTCCTAAAGATCAGCATTACTGAGGAAGTCTTCCATTCTTCAACATTTCAAACACAAGAGAAAAAACAAAACACAAAAAAGTTGACAGTCCCAAAAAAAGGGACTTCCACATAAGCCTTAGGGATCTAGGAAGTCACGAACAAGAATTATATTTGCTCACAGGCCCACGGGAACATCCCTCTAGATGATAAACACCTAGAGGTAGATGTGGATCAGGAGAACACTCTGGACGCAGAACAGGTTTGAGGAAGGTGTGATCTCTTGGTGTTTTAATCAGAATCCTAAGCTTCCATGGAGGAAGTGAAGACATGGTCTTGCTGCCTGCAGGACCTTGCACAAAAGCAAGGCAAGGCTGGAAGGGCTAGTAGGGGTTCTCAGGAAAGCCTGTTTCCGTGGTGACCGTGACTATGATGGATTCTTCACACTGAGGCCCCATCTAACCCTGGACTCCATATTTAATCAATAAAGTAAAATGATATCTCAATACATCACAAGGCTACCATTTTTAATTGATTGTCCAATAAACCTGAACTTCTAGGAACTAGCAGGAACTAGAGGAAACTGAGGCCAGAACACCTATGTGCTGCACTTCTGCTCAGAAGGAGAGGAAGACACAAAGGTAGAACAAGCAGCCATGTCCCGGGATCTACACGCACCAGGCTTCTTCTCCTGCCCCTATTCACACACCCTCACACCTGGGATCCACCACACATCTGAGGCCTCCATACTCACAGCCTGCAGGACGGGGCTGACAAGGAAGGCTGGACCCAGCAGGAACTGATCATCTATGTCCCATGTCACACGGTCTGACACAAACCTGGGAAGGTAAGAAGATGTCACAGTCAGAGTCCCAGCCCAAGTCCCCAAGGAACAACTCAAGTTCAGAGGCAAGTCTCCCCTCCAACTCCATCTTATGTCATCCTTAGTCTTTGCCTATATTGATCAGGAATACACAGACTTCAATATTCTACATGTCAAGTTACCTTGACATCACAAATGCTTCAGATATGTTTAGACACTTGAAAAATTCTCCACTGTTTCCAGATGGCACATTCAAACTGCAAGGAAGGCCCTCAATACTTTTTTTATGATGTCGACTCATTTGGCCTTAATTATTTCAATAGCTACACCACATACAGACGTCTGTGCATGCACAAATTAGAAAGAAATCAGGCTGTGTTGCATCATTTCAAATATTTTTCATTCAATAAATAGCCTTTCTCAATAACACATAGTGTGAATAAAACAGAGTTCAAAGTGTGGACTCTGCTTGGAGAGCTTATGACAAAATAAATCTTATCTTCATTGAGAAGAATTTTTTGCATCACCTGCCACCCTACAAAATACACTAAACTATGCATCAGTCCCTGGGACCCCAGCTGGACACTGACTCGTGCAGAAGAGGCCGCACCACAGTGCTGCCCTCCGTGTGGGCCTTGAACATCAAGGTGTACAGATATGGCAACAGGGTGTATCGGGTCTCCATCACACTCCTGGAAATATTCACAAAGGCAGCATCCCAGGACACAGGGTCTTGTCTCTAAGGAATAAAAGCAAAGGTGTTGAGAGCCCAACCCAGGGACCCTAGGGGGCAAAGAAGGTAAAGGAAAGCTTGATCCAAGTACATCACACACAGCTAAGATAAAGGTGATTACAAGTGACACTCTGAAATATACTGAATAGTCCGATAATAGTCAGTGAGGATCTTCCAGGAGACCTCATGGAACTTTCCCAGAAAAAACACTTCAGGGATATACTTGGAGCAATCCTTCCTATATCTAAAGACCCTCTGATAATCCTGTGCATTTTGGCAATTGTGAGGAGCTTTGATGGTTTTGAAAATCTCCCAGGAACAAAGATGGTCTGGACTGGGACTCCAAGGTGAAGGCTGCACAGCATGTGAGGCAAAGCACGTGAGGAAGGAGGAAGGTCCTACCCTGGTGCCAATGGTGTTGTGGTTCCTGGAGAAGGGGTAAAAGGCTCCCAGCTGCATCCAGCGAGCACACATCTCATACTCAGCATCTTGAAAGAACCCACAGATATCTGCTCCTGTCTGTAACCAGAGGAAATGAAACCAGCCTGTGGGTGATTGCTCACGGGTGTCAGTGTCCTCTTAGGGATGAGGAGGAGCAAAGGTCACTTACATAGGAGATGCCAAAGAGGCTGAACTCCATCATGCCTGCAATGAGAACCACGGCTGTCAGGAGAGGCATGTGTGTGCCCTGCCCTCTCCTCCCTCCTTTCCCAAGGACACCAGCTCCCTTCCCTGCAGCAGAGGCCCCTGGGAAGAAGCCACACACCAATGATAGATTTCTTCAGCTGGTCCCATGTGGCAGTGTTGTCTCCCAGCCAGTGTCCTCCCCAGCGGCCAGAGGAGGGGAATGTGGAGCGGGTGATGACGATCCCTCGCTGTCCAGTCACCTCCTGCACAGCTCTGTAGGAGGGGAATGTACAGGTGAATTGAGGACACAGCAAGAAGAATGGAATAGGGCTTCCCTTTCCATAAAAAGAACAGAGGACATGGTAACAAAATGTTGGTTACGTGAATGGCGGGAATATGGGAGACTGAGCAATGGAGAGGGTCCTACTGACCGATGGAGACAACACCACCTTCATGGTGTCGTAACAGGGATTTCACCATGTTTCAGACCCACTGGTTACCCAGAGAGTAAGAAATCACTGAATCCTGCCACTTATTTATTATCTCTTGGTTATCTGTATTTGAGGAATAGGAGAGAATATCATTATATGGGATTTTTCTTAGGATAATTTCTAATATTCATTGAGTTTAAAGGGTGTGGGCTACTTATTCCACAGAAGATCCATTTACTGTACATTAAAAATGGAAAAAATATGCTGACATAGAAGTTTTACTGTTGAAGAAAAGGTGAGATATGTACAGTCCTTATGTTCTCTTTACCTCACGTAACTAATGCATTTAAAGAAGCAACTGCACTGTGTAATACTAACTCGTACCATCACGTGAGTCTCCCCAAACAGAACTACTAGTTTCTCACTTATGGGACAGTATCGTATTGAAAGTTGACCTCCTACATATACCCACAGGGACTGGCCCCATGGTTAAGGAAAATTGGTTTCAAAAATAAAAATTGTGACAGTTACAATTAAATGTTCTTCAATCTTGCAATGGGATTGCTATGAAAAACTTAAAAGTTATGCCCAGCACTATGTGTCCCCACAGGCTGAGCCCACTGGAGAAGGAAAACAATGACTCACTCATATGTGGGTCTGGTCTGGGACCACCCGTACAGGCTGTGCACATCATAGTGTCGCACCCGGGAGCCATCTGGAAGGATCTGCTCACTCTCCATGCACAGGGTCTTGCTGCTTAGGCCCCGGTCCCTGGACTCCAGATCTGAGGGAAAAGATTTGGGAAGGTGAAAACCAGCCCTGAGCCTTTTAGTCCCTGACCTCTCCTTAAGGCATTTAACTACACATCTTAAGATTGACTTGACTTCACAATGGCCCCAACCATGGGATTGTAACTAAGAAAAGGGCTTTCTAGACAAATTCAGGAAACTTTCCCCCAAGAGATCCAGAAACTTGCACCAAAAAGTTTGGAAAAGGACTTGAAATGCTTTCGTTTCTGGCCCCCAATAAACCAGAAAACACAGAGGGCTCTGCTGGTCAGGATAAACCTCTGGTGCTGGGCTCAAACAATGATTATCTTCCATCTAGCCATGGAGAAGCCCAAGGGTCCTTACGTGGCATGTAGGGAGGATGGTTCAGACTGGCATCACTGCAGCCTGAAGGAACAGCCCCATTCACAAAGCTTGATGGTTCATTCATATCCTAGAAAAGTCAGACACAGACATTGCTTACTCTTAACTGAGAGACTTCTTGTCAATTGAGAGTCAAGGGTGTGGTGAATACATCATTTCCACCAGTACACGTGCTTGTGGGTACTGGTGTGTGTGCTTGCCCAGTCTGGCTCATCAAATCCAGATAAGAATTGGCTAAAAAAAAATAATTGATCCCTAAAGGATGACTGACTGGAAGGTCAAAACAATACTCCCTCGGGGTAAACAAGTTTCTGAGGCATTCTTGGCAATCTCCCTAGAGGTTTGACAGAGTGAGTTACAAGCTACAAGGAATATCAGTTCAGGAAATGCAGCATAACATATCCAAAGTCTTTCTTGGAAGTTATATCTATCACCTTGACTAAAAGTCTGACATTCATATGGTAAATCACACCAAGTTAAACACACACACACTTACAATCCACATGCCATCAAACTTCAAGCTCCTCTCTGGATTCTCTGGGTTGTTGTACAGTTCTGCAATTTCTCTCTTCCACCACAAGGCAGTTGAATTACGGAAAAAGTCTGGGAAGGCCACATAAGCTCGGTATTCCTATAAAAACATTTATAATTCACTATCCCAAATGAATATATCTTACAGAACCTAATTAATGAAAAGACTTGGACTACATTATGGCAGAGTGAAAATCTCAATAGAGCCTACCTTATGTTCTTGATAATTGAGAATACATTGAGGGCAATGAGGAGAATTATGGATGAATTTGACACATTTGAAAATGTCCATAATCTGTTTCCTTTTCATGCCATCATGAATGCTATCAATTGACACCCTGACCCACTATCCCCGGCTTCAGATTCCCGACCTGCACTTTCTATCCTGCCTTTTCATAAGCTCTCCCCAAATCCTGCAGGGGCAGGGAACAACTGTATCTGGAAAGGGCAGACACCACAGGCACTGTACCAGAGGAAAGGCAACGACCAGGTGGCATGGCAATGTGTCATATCCACTGGCAACATGGGAGAGGGGAGAGATTACATTTCATGACATTAGACTGGCATTCATTAGTGTTCTGTGGCTTCAGAATCATGTGAGCATTGCAGTTTTGTGTAATATAATATGGAAGAATTTAAGGAGGAACCTCAATAAATGTCTCCTTTTCTGCTTCTTTCATCAAGCAGGAAAAGCAATGTCTTCAACTTAGCATGGAAAGTGGATTCACATATCAGTTCTTAAATAGATTGTAAGGGTTTTAGATCAAAGACTTTGTCTTATACACTTTTGATTGGTCTTTATGATCCCTACAATGCAGAGCTTAGAAAGTGTCATAAGAATAAAGGAATGATAATAAATATTCAGTGTTTAATTTGGGAAGAACATCACTCAGTAGCAGCAAATATGCCTGAATGTCTATATATTCTATGTTGTTTGTTAGAAAACACTCTGATCCTTGGTGTATCTCAAAACAATTGAGCCTCCTCTGTGGTAAACTCTGCCTCATATGATGTAATGAGCTAAATAATGCTGGAGGATAGGAAGAATCCCCTAAGAGGAGTTGATATAGGCAAGCTCAAGTTTCTTGTATAATGCAAAAATGCAAGTGGGATCCATATGTCTAGATAAAAGTCAAATGAGGAACACCAATAAGAAAACTCTAATGGGGCTGTGGATGTGGCTCAAGCGGTAGCGCGCTCGCCTGGCATGCGTGTGGCCTGGGTTTGATCCTCAGCACCACATACAAAAAAAGATGTTGTGTCCGCCGATAACTAAAAAATAAATATTAAAAAAATTCTCTCTCTCTCTTGCTCTCTAAAAAAAAAAAGAATAGAAAACAGTAATGGATCATCATGCACAGATCTGGTTCTCAGAGGACAGAAAGGGCAAGGGGCCATATCACTGAGAACTTTGGATTCCTTTGTTAGAAAATGGAAATAGAAAAGTATGGAAATAGACACAGAATCTTTCATCACATGGCCATGTCAGAAACCATGGTATGTGTGGAGAGTGGGGATTAAAGAAATGAATCATGATCAGCTGTTTGAGAGACAGAACTGTATCTCCTCTAGGATACACGTGGTAAATCAGCCCAACCATGGTTTTCTAACTTTACTAAATGCTGCTGTATTGATCCTTACCCATGTAGTAAAAATTCCCTCCCCTTCGCCAAAGTGCTATCCAAATTCAACTCTTGCCATATCGCTTCTGTCCTAAAATTGTGATGTTCACATCTGCACAAAAGCCCTCAGAATTACTTATTACAATCCATTGCATGATACTGCAATTCAATTCCTAGATGCCACCACAAACTTACTGAATCAAACAGTGAGATTCAGACTCAGAAATCTGCTTTTCCACTACTTCATGGATGAACATTTACTTGCTTATTTGCTTACTTGCTTGCTTGTTTATATTACCCTCAGGAATTGCAGACCTGAGCATCAATAATCTCACTTTAATTCGTCTCAGCACATGGGTACTACTAATTTAATGGTTATAATTATTCTAAATACCAATAATCTCTTACAAGCTATCTAATATATTTTTGGTACCCAAATGAAGCATTTCTCATCAAAGGTACAATTTCACATTGGGGTCAAGAGAATTCTTTGTGAAGAATCCCCTGCTATTAGAGGTAAGAGCATCCCTAGTCACTGCCCACCAAATATCAAATGATGCTCCCACATCACTGAGATAACCAAACAGCCACACGGACTTCTGAATCCCCTCAATATGGCAGTCCCAAATGGCTGATGAACTGTGTTAATTCATGAACTCAAGGTAACAGCCAATGCCTTCAATAATGAAAATGACCTTCTACTAAAGACAGCGAATTTGTGTGTCAGATTGGCTATGCCATGACTTGATTCTATGTCCTTATGGGTTGCCTGGATCACTAAACCTCAAACAATCCTCAGTAAGAAATGAAAAAACAAGTACTGAGGTTTTCTGTCTTATTTCCTTATTAGCTAGAAAGTAGATACATACACAAATAATAGATGAAAAATTAATACTTAGGTGAATTGATAGGAAGAAGAACGAGGGAGAAAGAGAAAGAATGAAAGGGTGAGAGACAGATAATGATTCGGTACTAGTCAAAAGAAAAAAATAATCTTGAATTGATTTTGAATCATTCCTACCAATCTTCCCCGGTAAAATTCTATTTCTTTTACTTTATCTATGTACTGCAAAAATTAAGAATGCAGAATATAATTCCAGATAATCTGAACAAAAATATGAGTATCTCATTTTGATTCTAGAGTCCGACTGTTACCACCTGGGAATCAAAAGTCACAGACCAACTAGTACTATACTCCCTCCTGTGTCCCAGAACTGAGCCCTCAGTCCCCAGACTGTCCTAGTCTTAATATCAGTCTTTATCTATAAGAATGACCACTATCCACCAAAATTAACTAGTCTAGATAAGGCATGAACATGTGGCCTAACTGTGCCAGTTCCATCCCTTACTAATGTCTTTCTCTTATCCCTCCATCCACTCACTAGGATCCTCCAGTATAGGAAATGTCCCCTAAGCAGAGCCTTCACCCCTGAGATCCTATAGTAGCTAATAGCAAAATTTATAGATACTGTACATTGTTCCCACAATACTCTTTTTTTCTGATTAATCCTTGACCTTGAGAGTTTCAAGAAATTACAACTTATGCTACCTTGATTACCATATAGAAGCCATATTCTATGGCCCCTTGATCCTTGGTAGGTATCCTTGGAACTACTTTCTTTGACTTCTCAGTACTTTTATCAATATTCATAAGCTTCACATGTTCTACTATAATTTCTGTCCAGAAAGAATAATCATTGCTGAAGAGTGGATAAAGAACTACCAGAAAAATATTGGTTCTTCTGAAGAGGCCAGATACCACCCTGACAGCCCTGCTCAAAAGTATTAGAGAGCAACTGATGACAAAGCAGACAGGCTGCATCAGTTCCCTTGGTACACTTCTTGGCCAGAACATCTGGCTGAAGTCATCATGCACCAGTGTGGAACCATGTATTCTTTCAAGCAACAAATGCTTAGTAAAGCTAGAAAGAAACCTGGGTCAAGAAGCATGGGACAACTTCATTGCAATCAAATACCTGCTCTCAAGAGTAAATTTTTAATCAATACCGGAACCTCAGAAGTAAAAGTGAAGCTGAGAGACCCAATAACTAAAGACAAAGGTTAGAGATACTAGTAAAAAGGAATACTCAATGCAACAACAATAAGATACAGACTCATTCTAAGATTGGTCTTCCTTGAAAGTTTCATACATTGGAAACTCAAAAGGCCTATGAAATTAGGTGGCTTTGAATTTTAAATAACCATTTGTCTCCTAAAACCATGGACAAGTAATTTCACTTCTTTGTCAGTTAAGTCCCATAGATAATAATACCTACCTCCCAATTAGACATTAAACAAAACTGCATTTAAAGTAATTCACACAAAGACTGACACACAGTACACCTTTCCTAGGAGCTTTTCCCTTGTTTTGCCAAAGTCTTTGGCAGGGCATGTTCAGGATAGTGGGTATGGGTTCCATTCCTAACAACCTGGCCTTCACCCAACATCCACAAAGGGCTCTTTACCTCCACTTGACTGTC